GGAGACCTTTGACATCAACTGGCACAGGCCAGTCGGTGATCGCCTTGATCTTTTCGGGATCATGACGTACACCGTTCTTACCAACGATGCACCCAAGAAGTGGTATTTCGCTTGCTGCAAATATACACTTCTTGAGGTTTGCATACAATTGATGCTTTCGCATGATTGTAAGAACTTGTCGGACGTGGTACCTGTGAACCTCAACGTCCGACTTTCCATCCATAGCTCGACTATGGATGAATACGTCATCGAAATAACTCGGCGCGAATTCTCGTACTGGTCTCAACAGATGTGATACACATCTGTTGAACGTGGCAGGGGCATTACTGAGCCCTTGTGGCATTACTATTCATTCCCAGAGCATGCCGCTAGACGTGCTCACTGCGGTATAGGGTATATCCCGTTCTCGCATAAGAATTTGATAGAAGCCATCCATCAAATCCATGGACGAAAAGATGGTACTCTTTGACATACCATCAATGATTACGTCCTTCCTCGGTATCGGCGTCTGAGCCGGTACCGTTGCAGGGTTTAATTTGTTGAACGCGTGCACTATCCGCCACCCTCCAGTTGCTTTTCGCACACAGAAGGTCGGAGAGCTATGTGTGGAAGCTGATTCCCTCACATGCCCCGCAGCTAAACGATCGGCAAAGAACTTGTCGATCGCAAGTACTTGTTCACGAGGCAGTGGCCACTGCTTCATGACACAGTACTTCGAGTCTGGTTTAAGCTCGACCTCGTGTCGAATACCTTTATCCTTCGGTAATTCGCACGGAACAGTTTCAGGGAATACATCCTTGAATTCAACCAAATCTTCATAGAGGGGATTTTTCTTGAGCGATTCCCATGATTGGGAGTCATATCGCTCAATTCGTGTCTTTTCATCTAGGACACTCTCGTCCATAGATGAACTACTGAGAACTCTCTCGTTCTCAGTGAACACTGTTGCTGACCTTATGTCGGTTACACACTCGTCGTCAGCGACGAGTATGCAGATCTGCTTGACTTTGCCACTACGCAGATCACGCAAGAACCTTTTATGTTCGAGCGTTGGCAACTGAGTGATCTCCGAAGTTAACTTCGGAGGCGCAATCAGATCAAGTGTATAAGCGCCTACACTTGATCCATCATTGACTATGACATTCAATGTCTCTGTCATTTCCTGGGGACTTATTCCCTCAGGCTTCGAAGGACTTATTCCTTCGTCTTCCCGGGGACTTATTCCCGCGGGTTTCGGGGAACTTATTTCCGCCGTATTTGTAATCTTGGGACTTATTCCCTTTACTTCCTCTAGCTGGGGTTGCGCAACCACAGCGAGATCCTCTACGAAAGACTCTCCAGTCGATCTAGGATTATCGTTTCGCTTAACCTGAGCGATCGATTGTTTCTCTTCTAGATGTTCCCCGCTAGGGATACATCTTTGTCCCAGTCCACCCGACTTATTCGAGTGGTGGACCTTCGGCGCAGCCTGTGTTTCCTCACAGCCGCCGGAACTTTGCTCCGAAGTGTAACCGTTTGGTACACTAAGGTTTTGTGCAGTCGTACTAACGACCGTACCACAAGTGAGGCCATCGCACTCACTCGTAGTACATCCACACGCTTGTGGACGCTCCAAAACGTTCATCAGATGGCCATCTGATGAACAAGCGGCAGGCATCGTTACTGTCCGATGTTGCCAGTTTACTCGTGGTTCGTACCTTCTGAGCCACGGTATTCCAAGGATGACATCGAATTTGTCATCCAAATCCAATACGATAAAGTCATCGTCATATTGGGTATCTTCTAGCGTATAGTGGATCTTCACTATACGCTTCATGACGGTTACGGATGCGCCTGTCGCAAGACGTACCGTCATCCTCGTAGGAGGTGTGTCACATTCACTGAATTTAAAGTGACCATCTTCTAGCGATTGGCGTCGCACAAAATTGTTGGACGCCCCACAATCGACTAGAGCTCGAAGGGACAACTTATTCGTCACTTCGAGTTTCAAGGTAATGAGTGAGATCTCATTACCTAGAGCAGCAACGCACAACGTCTGTGTGTTGGGAGCAACCTTCATCAAGAGGCCTACAAATTCTCTTGACGTTGCTGGATCAGTAGGGTGCTCCGCACCTACTGATTCTGTCCGTTTTTTGACGGTCCATCCCGTTGTTGCGTCTTTGCACCAACTGCGGACCCTCGTCCCTGCCTCTTTCTCATGGGTGGACGGTCACTACGCCCAGTGTCGCGAGACACTGGACGAGGGGCACTACACTCGTAAGCGTAGTGTCCTGTCTTCTGACATCTGTTGCATTTCTGCAACTTCTTGTAGTCTTTAGAGCGAGCCTTCTCGCTCTGTACATAACAGAGTTCCATCGGCTCTGGACCTCCGTTGTGATATCGTCTCGGTTGACGATATGATGTCGAGCTGGCGCGAGCCTGTCTCAGACTGAATTCTTCCTGCTCCGCAATGGAAATGGCTTGTTCTAGTGAATCTAGTTCAAGTCGGAACAGGTGAGTCTTGACGGGACCATCCGCAAGACCCTGCACGAACACCGAAACCAACGTGTGTTCATCCACCGGATTGGAACTTATACAACTCGTGAGATGTCGTATATGTTGAGCGTAAGCGTGTACATCACGCTTACCCTGCTTGAGCTTCAAGAGTTCGGTTCGAGCTCTGAACTCAGCTCTAGGCGGTTCAAACGTTTGTCTGAGCCGCGACTTGAAGACTTCCAACGACCCAAACGCATATGGGTCGTGCAACGTGAGCCCCAGTGCCCAAGTCTTGGCACGTCCTGCCAGATTTGACTGGGCAAATGCAACTTGCATATCCCCGTCGTCGATGCGACGCGCCCTTATGGCGTCATCCAATTCGACGAACCATCTCAAGAGGGAGTCTTCTTCGACCCCCCTATACTTGGAGATGTCAATCTTCAAAGTCTCGGGTCGACGCGAGTGCATCGACCCACCAGCAGCAGCCTGCTGCTGTCTCAACAGTTCAAACTGTTGAGCACCTTGTTCTCTCAACAACTCTGCTTGTTGAGAACCTTGTTGGTGAAGCAAGGCTACTTTCTCGCGTTCTGCGTCAAGTTCATTTTGAATGAACTTGGCGATAGTAGCATGTTGGGCATCTCTATTGAGAGCCTCTAGCATGACGCTAACAGCATGGATGCCCATGGTCGAACCCATTCGTTCAACCGCATCCCATTCGACATCGCTCAAATGGGAGTAGCCGTCACGCGTAGCGTGAAAGCTTTGGTCATCTTCATCATCCAACATATTCATGTTGGATGTGAACGCGGTCCTTGGACGGACTACGAAGTGCTACCAGGTGTAACGGGGCACCCCGAAGCTTGTACTGGTGACAGTACAAGCTACTTATTCTGATGACAGAATAAGGCGGTGCCTCGTAACTTCACGTACACTCGTACGTGCAGAGGAAGACGATAGAATAAGCGAGTACTTAGTTTAAGTAAAAAGTAGAACTGTATTTATAATAGTTAATGTCTGTTAATAAATCACTATTTATCTTCATCTAACTATGTCTGAATACAAATGTGTATATCAACTATCTGCTCACCACTCATTGCGTGCGTCTGTCGTGGCGCGTCTTCGTTGGTTGATATAATGGCCAATATCAACCAATTAGGAGCTACTCGTAAGTGCTGCTGAATATTTGTCCTTATGACAATATTCTGAATGTAAAACTCTTATAGTTATATTCTATTAACAATTTCTTATAAATTGTTATGTAACGATTCACCCCGTTACAGACGGCGTCCAGAGGTGTGGCTGTTATTACACGGCGAAGGATCTAACTTGCGATAGACGCAGACTCGAGTAGGTTTGCTAATACGACAGTTTATCTTGCTAGCTTACTTTGGGAGCAATTCTACAAAGCTCGTGGATGATGACGTCTAGTAGATCTTGACATGTTCTTCAGCAAGTTAAACAAAGCGTTCGAGGATGTATGTGCCTTGTCGAACTTGAGGCAGCGGATTCTGTTTGATCGGGTTCGAGGTAATACAATGTGGAATCCGGAGTTTGTACTGCCTACATGTAAGTAGACCACCAACAGTGTTTTCGCACGACGGACTTGTCGCCGCTGGATTTCCGCGTTGCTTACAATCTGATACTCTGCCACGGTTTCCATTTCATCACGTGGCATCACACTTGCATTGGTTTCAGTATCGGGAAGTGCAGGATCAATCACGCTTAAGCAGTTTCACCAAAATGAAAATCTGAGAGGCGTTTGTCACGAATTCAAATATACCACAGTACATTTCATCAGCCACATAAACATCATGGCGAGCCACGCGACCAGCTCAATAACATATACGCACTAAAAGCATATATTTCCGTGCGAGTTCACTAGCGACCGGTGTTCGGAGTCTCATACCGTCGGCAACTCAGGGACTTCCCGTGACTTCTAGGATTTGATACATACCGTTAGCAACTCAGAGACTTACCGTGACTTCTGTGACTCGACGTCACATTGTAAGCACACAACGTCGTCACCTCATTGACCCCTTTGACGATCTGTTCACATTCGATTTATCGAGTAATACCTTTGTCAGAAAACAAATCATAAAATGAATAGGGATTTTATATATAAGATTTAGAAGGAAGGGTGTGAATCTAAGGAAAAGGGGTGTGAATCTAGCAATTCCCTATTTTGACTGTCAGCATCATTCGAAATATTTTGTTTGAGTACAGCATGAGATCGCGACGGTGACAATGAAGCAAACGAGCCTACCCATGCAGCAGGTAATGCCTTCCGTTGTTCAAGTGTCAGCTGAAACAATCTCTAATCCGAATCTTCCGGACACAATTTTCTGGATCGAAGGCGTTCAATAGAATGCCGATCGCTCAGTCAATGGATGGTAGTGCCATGTCCGTCATATATCCGCGCCAAAGATCGCCGTTTCTCGCGCAGTTTGGCCCCTCGTCTTGCCTCCTGCATGCTGCTTATTCGTGAACTTGCTCTGCCTCACTGAGAAGTTGTTGAAACTCCGACCATGCATGCCCGCTTCTCCACTGCTCTGTTTGCAGTGACCTTCGTTTTCAGCTTTGTCTGCCTCACGAGTGCGGGTCATTCCTCTGTAGAAGGCCAGACTAAAGGGAGCCCCACGACTCGTCGTGTCCGCCTCGCGAGTGTCGTTCCTGAGGAGAGGGGACTATGGGAATCTTTCTCCCAGTTAATCCTACGAAAAAATGTTGCCGCCAGCATTCATCCGGAGCCTCCTGCTAACTCGGCAGGGCAACTTGCCAATGAAGCTGGGGTTGTCGAGAATCCGAGAAGCGTGTTGTCGTTTTTTAGCGACGAAACCTGCAGCGTTCCACGTTACTACCTCATCCTGGTGGCGCTGTTTTTTGGCATGTTTGTGCTTGAGGGTCTAAGGAGGGTACGGGGCTAGACTCTCCCCCTCATCGCTCGCGTATTTGCTGTTGACGAGTCGGTATGACTATGAAGTCGTGTCAGGCGACGATTAAGTAGTCGTAGCTATTTGCATCATATTAACAATCAAGAAAAAAGCGGTTTGCCTGACTTCGTTTGTACCTTGATTCTAGTTCATTTGACTCTGTATCGCGCGGCACAGATAACTGCAGCTCAATCACCTGAATCGAGTACACAAACGTCTCATGGGCGGGTGATCGTAGGCGTCTCCAGTGTATACGCGTGACTTACTGTCATATGAACACCGTCGCTGAATATTGCCCGCTATTCTTCATCACACGAGAGAACGAGCTCGATCAATCCTCAATTAAAGAGTGGACGACGTGTAACGAACGACAAAGGGTGCAAGACAGAAGGCATGGCTGATAACAATGAATGAAAGAACGTGAAATGCGTAAAGCCTTGGCGTTCCTAGAGAACGTAATGGCTGCTTAACGAGCAGTTATAGAAGATGCAAAGCCACAAGAACCAAACTTGGATGCAACTGCTGTTCAAGTATACACTTGTAAAGTCGAGTAGCTGCCGGATCTTGCCTTGTCAAGCTCGTAGGTGAGAGGTGACTTACAAAATATTACCCAAAAGTCCGATGATGTCTGCGTCATTCCAGTGATCTCTTACGTCAACTTTTACAAATCTGATTGTGCGGCTGCCTTCGTTTGCTCACTATCCTTAGACTTCGTCTTTCGATCAGTCAAGGAGACTTTGATTTCCTTTACTCCGTTTCTCCCGTCGGTCGTAGTCGAGATTACGCTGTACAATGATTGTTTTCTCCTCGTTGTCATTATGATGTCTCGCCAACCAGCGCATACGCGGTGCCCTTGCAATACGACATTAGCAGGAGGTCACGTAAATAGCGTTTGCCGCAGTAAAGAGACGTGGCAATGGAAACAAGTCACATCACGATAAGAAGCCGTCCGGGACGGCTGAAGATAACTTTTGTACGGCAAACGTTGCAAAAAACGATCCCAAACTTATGGGCATTGCACTGCGTGGCAATGGGGGGTACTGCAAAAAAGATATTTGGCTATATCCTCCGTCATCGGACGTTGAAAGGTAAAGCATGGAAATTACCTCATGCTCTCTCGTCATGAAGCTTGCTTGACTCGGATCAATTGATTTAGCGTTTATGAAAAACATCAACTATAGCGCACGTTTGTACTGACAGTAGCGTGCTGCCGAATGTACTGATGAATCAACAGAGTTACCAAAGTTGTGGATAGAGAGCCTTATGCGAACGATGGATGTTTTGCGGCTGAAGGACATAATAACATTGTCGCATTGTGCAATTAAAAGTTGCTACTAGTTACAGACCTTGAGCTTGAGCAAAACATATTCAATCGCACGACAAAAGACATGGTACACAGGTCCTATCATGGTGTCGCTAGTTCATGCTTTGATACTACTGGCGACGCGTATAATTCTCGTTGTGCAAAACCTCTAGGGAATAGGATCCGAAAACGACGATTGTGGTGCTCGTGTGGTTGCTTACATTCCCGACGGTCCAATGGTTTTGGCTCAACACGAGTATCAGGGGCAAGTGCACAATTGACCGAGGCGACACCACCACTCTCAGTCAAGCTCAATCCTATCAAAGCACCATACTAAAAAGCGACGTTCGCATCTGCCTACGGCACAGTTGTAATACGAGCGCATATCTATTTGTCATGTTGGCCTCCAGAATCAAGCGATATGAAACCATACAACTTGTCGCATGATTTAGCGCGGATGTTAAACTGTATCAGTAAACGACATCGTTCCTACATATTACATGGAGCGTCGATGCTTAGACGGTGTGTGTCTATCAGGCGAGATACCCGGTTTTGATGCTACAACGGTGAATACTTTCGACAAGATGACGAGTTCAATTGTTTTCTAGCTATGTGCAGTCTTCCACCTTAAGGGCATCTGCATGATATCTGTTGTGCCTCATATCGGGATCGTCGCGCCTGCATATTGTGAGACGGGCATAGAAGCTGAGTGCATAAATTTGGATGGGCTATAAAAACGAAGAGAGAAGGAACAAGGCGCTCGCATGGTTCGTATGAGCTGCTTCGTTCACATCACCGTCAAATGAGCAATTGAGATGACCGGGCTTGTACATATGTTTGCACAGATGCATTCGGACAAACACACCTTGTAACTCATATATGCTGTATCGTTCATGTAAAAACGAGATGCTTATCTTCGACATTATACGACGATAATCTTGTCAATTTGCAGCCATCCACACTTAGCGACTGGTGTCAGTTTAACCAGATAGTCCGCGATACCCGTCCTCGCTGTACAATGGAAGATTCTTCTTGACAGCTTGAAGGGCAATTCCAAGTTTAATGACAGACGCGCTTACAGTGCAAGAGTGCTCCATTGGGCCTCTTGCTGCTTCTGCTATCCTGTTTTTCTTTTGCTGTAACTATGACAAGCGGACATCTTTGTTTTTTTGCGGTCGAGGATATGCTTTTGGGATCCGTAACGTCTGAAATCTGTAATTGAAGCTTGCTACACAAAGAAGTAAAAGCCGATGGGCGCGCATTGTCGCAGTCGAACGACCTTTGCGTTTTACACAAGTTCCAGTGCGAAACCAGTGAGGTGACTGGTGAATTCAGTCCAAGTAGGTGAAAACGAAACGATTTTATCGTGTATTGTATCCAAAGGGGTGTAGACAGATTTCACCTAGCAAGCAGTCTGAAGCGCATCAATCAGGCTTCCAGCTTCGTGGACGTTATCAAAAATATATACAATGAAAGCGACAGCAAGAGTAGTAAGTAAGCGCCGTCAGATTTCAAGCGCATAAGAGAGAACCAGCACAAAATCAGCTGAAGCTGTATCAAATGAGGACGTGAAGCGTGGTAATAAGCTGTCGAGCAGGTAAAAGCAGTATCTAGTAGCGATCGGTAGTTTATCGATCTGCTGTGTGTGCGCTCGACATGGTTCGTCAGAGAATTCGCAGCTCTGTACTTTTGCTGTACGTAGTCAGGTCAAAAGGCAGGTGTTCGCGTTGCGCTGCTCGTCCTTTGCAAGTATTTAAAAAAACGGACAAATCCAGATCGATTGTTACCTAGGAGCATAATTTTGATCAGGTCGGACCGGTATTCCATGTTGCTGCAGCCGAGCAGCCGTCAATGGTGCTAATGTACGTATTCAAATCTCTTTCTACGTGTTTCGTTTCGCATCAAGATAAATGCCACGTCGTCACGTTGTGAGAAGATAAAGTATAGCGCAGGTCGGTAGTCACCCATTCGACAGCAGTGTTGGCGAAAGAGTTCTACTTATCACACAGGGCATGGCTTTTGCGCCATCTTTGAAAGCTCAGGAGAAATGATGACCGATACGGCATCGGCGGCAGATTACTTTTCTAGCCTACCGATAAAGATAGGGGAGCGCGCTCTAAAGCTCGCTCTCTGATGTAAGTAATCGAGTTCGGAGAGCTGAATCAAGTTGGACAACAGCTAACACTGAACCATGAGTATGGTGCTGTTCACGTATGTATAAACCCAGTACGGCATACTCAAGTAACTCGATAAACCTTTGCTTACGAGCGTCCAGTATTTGCTCATGTGAAAATATTTGCCTGTGATCAATTTTATGCCAATCACGTATGTGTGTGCCACAATAGTGACATAGCCAACGAGTGACTATGGAGGTGCCTATATTCCTTTGAGGGGGACAGGCTAGCTCGCACTTGATGCGTGTAAGCTACACCTAACTGCGTTATTTACCGACACACACGGACAAATAAGTACAACTTAAAAAATCGGCATTCAAGCTTGCGCTCACTCACTAATAGCTTCACCCTTCGGGCTTGCAACAACTACGCCCCTATGTCATGCAGCGACTCTTCAAAATATGTGAGCTTTCGCCAGCTCCGAAATGTTTACTTTTGCATCGCGCGCAAGGACGAATAGTATGTTGCTTGCTTAGCTTATGAGTAGGTTGTAGCAGTTTCACTGATAAGGGGCTGTAAGAGGAGTATCTTTGTGCTTGCTATGCCACAACCGGTAACTTAAAATGGCCTTGCACATACTGAATGATCCATCTTGACGTAGGCTCGTCATTTTCAGTGACATGCTCGATGGTGGCCAATCACACGCGATTTTCATGCCCAGTTCTTGTTGAGGCTCTCTTTTTTATGATTGTTATGTGTACGTGATACCTCTAAGATTGGCAGGAAGCATTCCGTGTACAGATAAAGCGTTTCAGGTGCGATGGTTTGCGACGCTATCTCACTTGTTCGCATCTATTTGGTCGCGTTGAGCCAGAAAAACGGTAGTAGGGCAAGGAGCTAGTGCTAAAGACGAGGCGGGTTAAGCATAGTGCAGACTTTTGCCGTTACCGCTCGCGCACTCAATCGGAAGTATTCCATTAAAATGCCATTTTAATACATCACTGATTGGGTAATGCAACCGTAACGTTCTTTCACTTTCGTAAATAGAGACCTTTATTAGACACGCCTTCGTCGGCTCAATAGCATCAAGAAGCTCATTTAGTGTTCATGAATGACTCTAAACTGTTCCTATAGAATGAAATGAAAACAACGGCCTGCAACGTCTACTATCGAGACGACCAAGTTCAACCCTAACGGCTGACCCGACTAGCTTTATACACATCCCCACCTCTCTTTCGCTCCTGCACCAGATCGACACCCCAGACTTCCTTTGCTCGTTCGTTTCCTTAATTATTGCGTCTATATCCATGGACCAAGTCGTCTCACGCAGCAGATCGTAATACACCTTGAAATACCAGACCCCGTCTCGTCTGCCCCATTCTCTGTCTCCACCGTCAACGTCACCGACTCATCAGCGGTACTCCGTCACGTCCCACATGTGACGTGCGCGTAAACAAATGCTCGAAGTAACTAAACGGACCGTCACGAACAAAACGCTCCAGACTTGACTCCACAAGGCAACCCACCTGCTACGGTACGTCTCTGGTATCAATCGGTAGCGCCGCGTCGACATTTACTTAGGTAAAACTCAGCAACTCGCGCAGCAACTGCTCGTCCTCCTTCTTTACAAACCGACCCTTCACCCGCAGTCGCGAGTCAGCAAAATTTTTGCGCACATCATATTTGACCTCTTTCCGCCATACGCGCTTTTGCCGCTTGTCAAGAAATTTCTCAATACGTTTCCGTCTAGAATCTGGCGAATAGGCGCCCACAAAGTTCTGATTTTGTCCGTCTTTACCTTTTGCCGTGTCGATTCCACCGAACGTTCGCGTAACGCCCGCAACCCCAGCAGCTCCTGGAATGCCGATTGGACGAGAAGTAGACACACTTGACGCGACTGCGGTCGATGACGCTGCAGACGAGCCGGTTGAACAAGTAGTGGCACCAGATAAGGTCATGCTGGACTTGCCCCCAGGACCGTTACTTCTCCCTTCCACTTTCACTCCCGGCTCGGTTTTCACCTGTTTATCTAAAAAGTCCTCTGCAAAACTAAAACCTGCGGGCGGAGTGATGCCAAGACCCATGGATGGCAACGAGTTGGGCAACGAAGCACCAAGTGATGAGCTGTAGAACTCGCCGTCCAAAATATCACGAGCTGACACGTCAGCAAATGACGAGTCAAAACCGAGTTCATCCCACTCGTCTAGTGACTGGTTTCGTGCCCCCGATGGAAACTAAAAAAACACACACACGCATACACAAAGACACACAACTAAGGTCTCAACCATAACAACCAAATGCAAAGAAACGAAGGAAACGGCAGCATATCCACACGCCAACCTCGTCTTTCGGTGTATCACCCAACGAGCCGACATTAAGAAACCCAAGATCGAGGTCGTCCAATAAATCAATCGACGAGGATTTCCGATTAAGCGCGCCACTGTCCAGCATTGCTTCCAGCGTCGTCGGGTCGCCAGCATCGAATTTTTCCAAAGCTTTTTGCAGTGCTTCGTCTCCACTAATAATCAAGTCCTGTATCGAATATCGTTAGAAACACGCAGAAGGTACAGAGTAAGTATATAGAACCGAAACAGCAACATCTACAACAGCAGAACCGAAGAGAGCGTGCGTGTATCCAATACCTTCAGTACACCCTTTTGGTATCGGTCAATGTAGCCACGCTCTTCCAACTCCGACGCACTTAAGAGACGACTAGAAACGCTCCCACTACGCCCTCGTTTCGTCATTGGCATTGTTAAACTACCGGGCGAAAATGCCGGAGGGGTGTGAGAAATCATGCCCAAGAAATCGTCGGCGCCCCAGCCGATCGAATCTTTGCGCGGAATGCTGGTACTGCTGCTGCCGCTGGCTACTGGACCTGCGGTGACGCAAGTTGCGAACAGTGGCGTTTCTTCCTTCGGTTCTTTTTTGATTGCCAAGGGCAAGGTCGGCGGCAACTGTGACTTCGAGGAGCTCATGTCACCTGCAAAAACGGGACAGAAAGTGACCTGCAACCGACTGCAAAAAAACGCGTGTTTAAAACCCGGAGTAAAAAACCACCTTGTTTCGAAAACTACTTACATGTGTCGCTGGGTTCTTTCCAGGTACGGCCAGAGTGTCTAAAGCGACAGGGGGACCTCGTGCCGGCCACTCTGTTGATGGATACACACGACGCAAAGTGAAGTGTATTTATAGAAGTAACACACGGCAACGCGCGAGAGTATCGACAGGTGTCGCACAGCAACGCGGTCGTTCTGTTTCTCGCCTGGCAACGCACGAGGTACCGACGACGTGATTTCACAGAACAGAACGCAAAGGCACTCGGTTCTCACGCCAAAATTCAGTCTCGTTTTGCTCTGTCACCGTCAAGCCACTTGGCTCCCCCCTTCGCGCGAAACTTGTCATTGGGCATATTATTATACCTCGTATAGTTTATATTCTAGCGACAGAGACCGGCCCGAGCACTGGGTCGGCTAGGAAAAGGACCGATACTGTAATTTGCGACAGTTTCTTCAGTTTATCGACTTCGCACGATGTTTACAGAAACGAGACGGTCAACTGGTGGGATCACTGGGCCTTCCTATACCGCACACCAAACTCTGTCCAATTTGGTGCGTACCACACCACGCCAAAGCACCTTTCTTTCTTCCCCCATCATGCACGACTTTACTGTTAGAACGCCAAAGTCAGCGAGGATTTCAGTGCACGCGATGATTCAGCTGCTCGTCAAAAAAATTATGCCACTATTTCTGAATGGGTAGAGAGAAGCTTGTGCTCACGGCTAGTCAATGGTGACTTCATGCATTGGCCGCCAATAGGACGACGGAAGGGCCATGACGTGAGACTTTACATCGTTAAAAGAGACGCTGCCACAACCAGTTATTCCCGCACCATCTGATAATCGGGCACATTACGAACACCGTGTGTCCGTCAGACGGGACGGTGCAATCATTCTTGATAGTGCTACACGAGACGCACTGCTCTTTGGATCAGCTATCGCTGCTTTTCTTTATTTCCGCGACTGCTTTGATTACGCAATCACGAACCGCAGAAGCAAGTGCATATCTGCTACTGCAAGCAAAATAGACAACGGTTGCAAAAAAGGTAGCAGTCTTTCCACCAATCACAACAGTGTGACAAGGTGGCAGCCTGACGATCTTTTTTCATTGGTCTGGAAGTATTGCACTGTCGTTACTTTTGCAGCTTATACGGTGAGATGTACACTCGGTGGAGTCTGTATTAGCTGATACGTAGGAAGGATGGCAGTTTAGGTACGGTTTACGATTGTTTGTCATGCACTGCATGGATACAACCCATCTCTGCCAGAGACCGGTCGATTCGCTCTTCGGCCGACTTACCGAGCACAGCCTCGGGCCATTTTCCCGAAGTCACGTCAAGTTCGACACCTTGTCTTATGTGAGGATGCAACCTGAAGTTGCCCGGTGTGGCTGCTCTATATACCCGGATTCCCGTCCAGCAAGTGCCAGCGATGCATAGATTATCGACGTTTGTCTTTACCTTATCGCAGAATGTAGTGTCACAAAAAGAGCGAAGCGAGTGCATGAGCTAAGTTTGCCCGAAGGCAGTGCCCGTGTCGAGTGGTTGAGATGCTTGCGCTCATATAGACAGCAGGATAGGTTTTGTCTAGTAGTCGATGTCATCGACAAGTGATGACAAGTGATATATCGCATCAACCGCTGGTTACAAAGCAGTCATGTTGTCACCCTATTGGAAAACGCCATAAACGCATATGGTGTACCGCACAAAGCGCCATTTCTTCGCGCGCTTCAAGCGCCTTCACGCATACGTCTGCCAACAACCCGGAAAGTGGAGACCGTTTAGAGCGCATAGATGTGGAAGCATTTGTTACTGCCAAGTAGCTCGTGAGCCACGTCTGAATTACGATTCACGTACTTGTTGACGGCGTAGACGATCGCTGCAGCGACGCTTGAAGCTATTCGTCGGTGCAAGATTTAGTACGCGCGAGATCGCGGTGGCATTGCATGCAGCATTGCTAGGCACACTCTTTTTTAGTTCTGTGAATCCTCGGATACTTTAGACGATGCAATAAGATACCACGAGTGAGATCGCTGTTGCATTCCTTGCGAACATGTACGTGCGCTGCACATGACATTCGTGCTGAAATCACTGCCGAAAAGCTATCGAAGTCAATCGAAGATGTTACCGGCTCACGGACTCTACCACTATGCCAGAAAACGAGTGACCATCGATGGAAGAGGTGGTGATCAGCTCGTTCTGCCATTCTACGCGCAGAAGCATGTTCGGGACCGACTTTGCGACCTGTCATCATCGTCATTGCACAATCAGCGGTTGGAAATAATACAAGCACGGACGTGGAGAGAACAAGAGAATACCTGTTCCAGACCAGACCGACACGATGTCATGTACAAAGAATGGTTGATGTTGTGCAACACCTTGATAGGTCCCTCGTAAATGCAAAGCTGACTTTTTCAATGCGTCGTATTCTCCTTTGGCAAGGGATTCCAAGGACATCATGCGAACAAGCTTGTCTACCCCTCTGCAACATCCCGGGATGATACCACATTCAGTCTTCCTTTTTACGAAAGAGGAGTGGCGTGGACATTTACAAGGCGTAGTGCCAGATAACCAGCCTATCGTGAAAGCAGGACATGGTGAATTAGGAAGTGCAATTGTCAAGGAAGGGACGAGATGTCGTTGTAGCGATAACCTCTCACCATGATGCTGTCCATGGAGATAGTTACAGAAAGTTATTCGCAATGAGGGCGCGATTCGCGCAAACTAAACCACATACGAAACCTTGAGCACAATCAATGTTTGATCCTTACGGGATCGGTCAAGTTAGTCAAATTGAGCAAGTTCCAGATATTTTGTAGCCTCAAAGAATAGTAAAAAGAAGCGGGCAGGGTGCAGGCCGTGAACAATGTAGCAGTAGCATGTGCCAAGCGTACACGCCCATGTGTGTGTGGTTTTATGACAGTCTCTGGACGCGGACATTTGTGCTTTCAGGTCGTCATGTAAGTTGTGGAACCAAAGGCGATGGGGCATACATCAAAACGTGTCGAACATTTACATGAAAAATGTATGGTTGGCAGCAACATTGCGTGCTTGCCGCTCAAAGTTTGCTGCTTTTAAAACTGCTACATCGTCCGTGTCTATCGCATCTCGATAGACACAGCCTTGTGTACAACTCGTTCTGCCTTCATTTGCAATTGTTTCGGTGCGCGCTCAATCGTAACGCCATTACCTGTAATCATTTACCGAAAGCACCTCTAGCGACCAACCGCCGATCCGCATCACAAGATTGACAGTTCATCAGCAGGATGCACCCATCGTCACTGCGTCATATGATGCACCAGCACTTCGCTTGTGATTATTCAAGACGAGTAGTTGATCGTATTCGTTATGAGTTATACGGTGACCTGCTTAGCGATAATACAACCGAACAAAGTTGATTGTAACAAGTGGCCGAGCGTTCGTCTCCTCCCCACTGCAATTATTGCCTGTTTACGCGGGAACGATGGCGCAGTTCAAAGGACAACGATGACCCGGGAGTAGCCATGGACTTTACAATTATTCGTAAACTGATCGATATTTGCACAGTGACTCTGTTTGAACCCTTGTTTCTTACAAGTCCTATTCAATAATCTCTAAACAGAGGAGATAAGGCGCTTATGCTGCACAACATTTTACTGCAACGCAAGCTGCACAAAAGTAGCGTCACGACTCGTGTTCAACTTACTTCTACGTGCAACAACATCCTACGGCACATGCAGTAAAACGAGCGCTTCATTTGAGTGAAGCGAATATTGCATTGCGCTGCCTATGCGGCAACGTCACGAGTTGAACGATGTTATACCAGCGTGTCGATGTTGCAGCGCAATAAGGAAACGAAACAAGACCTGAGCATTTCTCGTTTGTCCTGCTTTCACATATTTGCACTACAAATGTGCAGCAAGATACAGACTAGCTTCAAGTACTCCATGCATATTCCGATCGACTGGACTGATAAATCATGTGAGGATAAATATAAAAACAAAGTTTTGCTCGCTTTGGATCGCATCACGCTGTCAAATTAGTGAAGCGAGCACTCGTGTGTATCTATAAAACTTAGTTGATACAATAGGCTACCCACATTCACGCTGCCACTTCATGACGTTGTACAACGGGATCTGTTGCTTTCGATTGAACTAATTGACAAGAAAGAAGCAAAACATTGTTCGCTGTTTAGAAGTGTGGTAATAACGGATCAAGCACAGGTCCGAATGTGGTCTAAGTTGTGGAAAGAGGGGGTTTCTTCATCGATTAGTGGGGCTCAATACCGTCTGAGGCGATTGCCACGTTTGCGACTGCACAACAATCGAAAGCCAAAGCGATGAAGACGAGAAAAGAACTCGCTCATCGAGAAAGACAGTAGCTGAATAATATCAGCAGAAACAAAAAACGGTGCGTCAATCGAGTGGTCAGGTTGTGCAACGGATTGTACCTCCGCATAGTCAATATGCTGCCGAAGCGTTATGGTAGAAATGCACCTGTGCGGACAAACTTGCATCGTTGTCATTCCGCTCACGTTCCGCTGCACCTTAACCAACAACTTATAACGATACACTTGATGAGCTTTGACAAATATCCAGGGCGTAGTCACCGTCGAACAAAATGGTGGTGTGGCATGAATAAAAAGTTGAAGCGGCACTTCAGGTGATAGCGAAGTACAAAACTCAGTTGACGACAAACTCAATGTCCCTTTGAGTTTGGTTCAGCTCTCCATTCCGAGACAAGATATCTTGGCGTCGCATCCAAGTTCCGAGTTTAAAAAGTTGCGTATCGACAGAGACTCATGCCACCCACCAGACGCGATAATGCCCCGAGAAAAGTACAAGAGCGACGACATGTGCCATGATCAATTCACTCGTCGACCAGCTGCAACATTTTGACAGTCGCACGTTGAGCGAAAGAGTCGAGTGGTGTCCCCTCTAAGACGAGAAAAGTAGTGCGTCTTAAAACCATGCAACGAAAAGCTACTACACCGAAGAGTATGCCGCCAGGCGCGGGCTATCATCGCCAGCCTCTCTTATGGCTTCATCGTAATCCAAATTGCAGCTTTAAAGTCACTGTGGCTCTACATAATGGCAAGACGACATGTAATCAAGACTAATGGAGATCAATCTGGAAGAGGATTTTAGAAAATGAGTGCTCAGCATCCGACCAACTTCCACAACGACCTTACTGTCATGTCCGTGCTTGCAACGAGTGCTTGTTATACAGACGTTCTGAGGTCCTGTGCCAACAATCCTGCTATCCAGGGATGCCCGACAATGCTGCGGGACGTACTTCAATATAGAAGCTACATGACCAGACACGAGTGCACAATGAGCCAGTGGTCCGTCACGAACTGCTCGGCAGAGCCACGCTTGAGCTGCAGACTGTTTCGTAAATATTCAAACATCACGACTTTTACCGTCGGTCCAGGTGCTCGAACTCAGCAGCATCCCGTCTACGTAGACACGAGAAAGAAACACCGGCACGTACCCTCTCTCTCTCCATCATTTCATCGTCCTCTTCCTCTCGCCTAGAGGTCTTTCAGTCCAGCTTGTAACGCTCCTTTCAGCATCGTTAGTGTCTCGACCTTTGCTGCTGCTTGCTGACTCTCTTCATGGCACTTTTCCAACTGCGTCTTCGTAAACAACTCGGGATTCGAGTCTTCCGATGCATCCATATTCCTATCCAACAGCAACAACAATAACAACAACAACAATAACAACAATAGCACATTAGCATCACAAACACATCCATCCTATCTTCCACCACTTTTGTACTGCAAACACAACCCCATTTGAACAATGCCAATAATAATCCTAAAAATAACAATAGCAACAACAAAAAACGGCTGCGATCCACATAATATCATCATAAAAAATAGAGAGCGTACCGTAGCACTTGCAACGGAATGTCGGCATCGTAACCTGCTGCTGCTTGATCTGCTTGGTGAAGTAACTCCACGTACTGCGTGGCTTTTGCCGTGAGAAAATTGAGCTGATCCGGTCGAAAATCCGCGACCCCATTTGTGAGTTGGTCCAATGTCGTGACAATGTCCACGAGAGTCTCCAGTACTCGTGGCGGCAAGTGCTTCATGACGTCGTCTTGAAGTAACACTGGATGCATGAATCCAGCAGTCGCTGTATCGTCTTTCAACGGCTTGACGTCTCGACTGGTCCTGCTGGTATTATTCTGAATAGTCATATTTGGACCACTCTTACTCGCAGTAGTCATATTACTATTACTACGATTGACTCCCCGTCCCTTGATAGTGACCGGGGCCTTAAAGGGAGGGGGTGAACCACCCGGCGTAAACGGAGCCAAATAGGGACTTGCTCCGACTTGGGCACGTCGCTCGTGCGGCTCCGAGGCAGCGGACAAAGGAGCGGACGGCGTGGGCTGCAGTCCAGACGCGGAACTTGAGGCGGTTGGGAGTTCCAAACGATCTGGAGGTGGCAGATCTGACAGGAATTGGTCGGGCTCGACGTCTGCGTCGTCGTCTTCGAGGCTCTTGGGGCGACTCTCCATTGTTAGGCCGGTGGTTACGTGAGGGATGAGATAGTGTGAGGACTATTTTATGTCTATTGGGAGGGAGAGGGAGAAATATAGTACTGGAGAAAGCTGGGTGGGCGGTGGAGACAGTACGAATACGGGATATGTTTCTCTCAATAATTATGTGTCGGGGTATATTCCGAGACGTTGCAGCTTCGTGCTGCGGTAAAAGCGCTTTTTGTATCATGCAGAGCTCGACCTGGAAGTGTAATGGCGCAGAATCGGTTCATGTTTGACGACCAGCTTTTTTCCATAAATTAATGAAGAATTGAACTCCGATGACGTAATGAGGTTTTGAGCGTTCATTTTCCCATGCCTATAAAAGCTTTTAGTCGATATAATCTTGCTCATTGCTGTCGTGATGCTTTTATTGCAATCAATCACTTCAGTCGGCTTTATATCAATACAAACGTCGTTTTCAGACGAAACTGTGATGATTCACGCGTTTAATCAAACCTGGAGTCCGACAAAAACAGTCATTATCTACTACAAATGTGTCGTCTCTTTAATTGTGAGCGTCTCTAAACTATCTAGAGTTATTTATGTGGCTTGAGGCACGCCGCCCCGCTAGAATGATTTGGGGCACTACCTCGATGCACATCTCGAGGTAATGCTCTTCGCGATCGAGGGAATTGTCGATTCGAACGTTATGCAGTTCACGTCATTATAAGACTCGATTCTTTCGACTGTTCTGTGAGGACGTTAGCAAACGGGAGATTTGAGTCCAGCAATAAAAAAAATTGCATGAGGGGAGACGCTGAACAAGCACGAAGTAAACAAGGAAGACCGCGAAAGCTGTCCTGTCAGAGAGAGAATTTAATAAGGGACTTCTTCCATCGCATCTCGTCATATCTGTGAAACCACAACGAGTGTTACGAAGAATATATGGATGATGACTTTCGTGGCAAGTACGACGTTTGCTGCTCATGCTCCACAAGTAGAGAGAATCACGTATGCGTCGATACAAGAATTACAATAAAAGTTGTAGACTCGAACGTTGCATGATCGTCATAGATTTTTGATCCGCGTACTCCACAACATTGCTCCGAAAGGACCGCTTTTTTTCCTGGTCAAGCAAGCGGAACGAGGGACAAGGTCAGCACAGATTCATAATAACTTTGAACAAGAGGATACGTATTGTGTCAACGTATCACGAAAAATTAGATTTGGATTTGGTATCGATAACAGCGTAAGGCGGAAAAACGTAAGCCTGTCTATGTAAGCATTGTACTCGCTACGTTCGCGATTCTCACTTGTCAAGATGGTGAGCCCAATCCTGAACTTTGTTTGTCATTCTATGTTTAGGTACTCGCAAATGATGCGGCTCTCGAGTCTCCTTACTATATGAGAAGGATGCACAGCATTCATTGACTTTTACGCATCAGTTCTTTTGAAAAGAAGATGGTCGGATCGACTCTCATTTCATTGAGCTAGCGATCAAAAATGTACGATCGATAAAACACCACACGAACAATTCCTGAATGTGTATCAACACAGATCCATATCATATCAGCCGATTTGTCGGATAGAGTTAGCATTCATCAGCATTTGTCTGACAAATGTCCCCTTTTTCTTACAACGTGTGTCAAAGTGGCGCCTAACAGCAAGTACAGCGGACAGGTTTTGTGGATGAATGGGTAAAAGCAATAATATCCAAGTACAAATTCATAAGACGAGTGATCAGCCGATGAGATCGTTGTCACAGAGTCACAACTGCTACTTTATACAATAAACCATTACCCATTGCTAGATTCTGCGCACTGACGATGGTTGCGCATAGTGCACAAACCGACTCGTTCATGACAACTGTACAGATTTCCCAAGTGCTCATCATCCAAAAGGGCAGTCGTTTTCCGTTTGAGTACGAGGATCTTTGGTACACAAGCATCAACTTGCGCGGCGCTTGGTGGAGCAAGATTTTTAACGAATCGATTTTGTTCACTTGCGCTTTACCTTCTGATTGCTACTTGCTTGACTGAAAATCGCTTACACTATGGATTCACTCCATCTCTTAAACGTCATGGGTATATTTGCATGGGTGTTGCTGTCAGTTGATACAATACTGTTCAGTCTGACCGTTCCCATGCTGTTTCAGCTGATTGATAGACATACATCAATTACAGCACGTAGTGACCAGAAAGTTTTGGCGGGCTATACTTCGAGCAAGCAAATAATCTAGTGGCATGCATGTTTTGCTTGCATCGATATGAAGGTCTTTTGCAACAGGATCGGAATGTATTTGTAACGTCGCTCTTGCCAGTAGCTCAAGGATGTGACATAACGAAGTAAAATAATAAGGTAAGTACGCACTGACATTAAGGCACATGTAAATTACACTTGCGATTTCTTTCTAGCTGAGTTTCGCTATCGAATCAAGCTGTGTATACCAGATCACTATTGACTTTTGCCAAGTCATAGTTAGTTGAAGCTACTACTTTTTCCAGCATCACCAACTCGCTGTCGATGGCTACATAAGATATAAAGCAACCTTATAAACTCTCAAGTCGTCACGCAATGAGTGCAACAGGCATTTGCAAGTGCGTGCCTATGGCAATTGCGAGAAGTTCTAGGTAGTATCGAAAATGCTAGGGCAGCACATTGTTCCCTCGACCGCAAGTCTGTCCTTTTTTCCAGCTAATCATCAGAAGGTTCCTGTGCAAGTACGCGTGATGAAACATGCCGAAATTATTAGCTGCTGCAAAATGCCAACTGAAATGTACGAGGATCAACGGCAAAAGTATGTTGGTCTCTACGTCGCTGAACTCGACTATTTGATAGCGCATATACTCTTGAACCTTGCTTTTTTTAACATACGCACGTTCTCTACTCTTGTCTCTGAAGATCGGTTCATTGCGCACTTTTTTGTCAGGTGTTGCTCGGTATGTTCTTCGATCTGCAAACGTCGTGAATGAAATGCCTTCGGTCCGTGTAAATTATGTTCGACAAGCACTTCAAGTTGCTTGTTTTGTGAAGTAATTGCTAGTCAACTGTTGTCACACGCTTAATTCCATGTATTAATCGTGAAAAACTTGCATAGACTGTGGTCGATGGTAACAGACCTCGACGCGTCTACTCCGAACTTCGGTACGCGTTATTTTGGGCAGTCACTTACTGACTTGGTCGTCAAAATACCGCTTGCGGTGGCATCACTGCCTGGCCGCACTTCGAGATATATCATCTTTCTAGTGTCTAACCAGTTCAATTCTGACAAGAAGTGTTGGTTCATCTTCGTCGAGCACCTTGTCAGCTTGTACTTCTATGATTTCGTGTCATACAATACAAAATCAAATTGAGTCCTTAATTTACAATGTGCGGAAGTCGCAGGTCATGCTGGTGCGGTACCGATCATGAACGGGGCTGCTGTATGTTCTACTCGTAGCTGTGAAGAGCAACGTACTGTTAACTTTTTTTTCATACAGACGTCGCGATCAAGTATGTCATGACTTTTCCTATCCTTTTTGAAGATGTTCTGCTCATCTGCTTTCCCTAGCGAGCAATGTCCCGATGATCTTGACGCATTCTCAAGCAGCAAAGTCTGAGATTCAAGCCTTTTTCGGTGACACGATTGTAGATCAGTCCAGCGAGCCGCCAGCATAGCTGCCTAGTGTGAGCTATTTTACAACATGGCAACCTACTTTTATTTGCACTACGAAGTGTTTCGGTGACTTGCTTCTGAGACAAGGGGTCTATCGAAATACTGCGACTATTTTGTGACTTCGTGAACTCTTTTGTTACTGCACGTACTGTAACAACACGAGTTAATTCACGCCGAGTCTACATCATCTAGCTCCTTCATCAGTCTACGAGACCTAAATATCAATACCTGCCAGCGTATCTTCAAGCAACAATTTATCTAGGTCACTAGTTACTTCCGATATATCTTCGCTCACGGAGCTCTGGAGAAGATCATGGAACTCCTCAACTCGTGCATCACCTCCTGAGCTTGACAGAATAAGCTTCATCGGGACTTGACGAACACACATCTTTACATCGGTGGTACCTTCGTCAGCGCCTGGCGTAAGACTCACCCACCCTGTCTCATCCGCGTGCATGCCTCGAAAAATCTCTTCTCCTTCCGTGTGCGATTTCCAGACAATAATTGTACGGTTCTTCTCGACAAACCGACGTCCGACCTGTCGCTGTAAAACAGACACTGTCGACCCACACGTGAGCGTATGCAGCAGACGAAACCTCACGACAAGTGTGTCATCTGACTCTGCGACTTCTCCAAATTCCTCTCTGTCGTCCTGTCGATGAAGTAGCTTTGCAAGTTTCCACATAATCTGCTCCGTGCGAGGGTAACAAAACGGCTGCGTATAGTTGCTGCGGTGCTCAAAGTACTCAACCTCGCCATCCGTCTCGCGCCGCTTGACGGAACTCACAATTCCTTCCGTCATGGACTTTTCCCGGTCAAAAATCTCATCAACGATCGCGTAGCTCTCGTGCACGCGCCTCAAATGACCTCGAAACATCGTGTAGTCGAATTCAGGACTCACTCGAGACGACAATGCCCGCGAACGAGATCGTGCAGTTGTCGTAAGAGCAGTTCTACTGCCCTTTGGCAGCTCCAACGTCAGCTGTCTACACAGCGCTTCAATGCAATTTGCTTTCGTCTCGGCTTCTGCCAGCAGTCGCTTCTGCTGCTCTTCTGCTCGCCACAATTTCTCCCGTTCGTCGTGAGCCAACCGCCGCTGCAAGTGACTCAACGAGTCCGTCGCCGCTGCTGCTCGTGCTTGTTTACCAGCTTGCAGGTCGCTCAGCTGCCGGGCCAAGTCGTCGACCGTCTGCCGCAATCGATTGCGCTCGTCCTTGACTTTCTGATGGTACACTCGCTTGCGAATCGCCTCTCGCTCTCGCCGACTTTTAGGCACGGGCACGACCTCGTTGCTCGTCACGGGTCCGTGCTCGTCACGTTTGCACAGTCGGTCGTGGTAGTCGCCCACCACGTCCGTGAACGTTGCAGTGGGGAAACACGCGGTTAGCACCGACGCCGCGAGATCGTTCGACACGACGAGCGCGTCAGGTTTCATCTCGTCCGGCTCGTCTTTCAGCGCTCGCGTCGCGTCCTTCCGGCTCGCGGTTGTATCGGGTTCCGAGCCCACGAGGCCCTTGACGACGACGACTGTCGAGCCGGTGGTCATGAGCTACTTGACTGTTCCGGTGCTTCTTCCTGTTGCCGGGTCGCTGCGGGGGGAAGGGAGGGAAGGGAAGGGGAGTCCAGTGGCTGTCCCACGAGGTGGCGCGGGGCTGCACGGCGCTGGAGCTGCTCGAGAGTCGGCAAGTGACGACAAGTGGACGAGCCACAGGCGCAAATCGCAATGGACTGATGGACAGCCGGCGTTGATGCAAGTGGCGGGTCTATGTCCGCTTTTCTTTTCGGTTGGCTTTTTTTTATTGCCGAGCGTGGCCCGTCTGTCCATGTCGACGTTTCTGTGCGCGTTCTTCAGCTTTCAATGCGTGACGAGAGTCGGCTTTGTTCTTCGTGTCGTCAAGTGGTGAGCTCGTGATGCTATCTCAGTACTGAGTGGGTTGCCGCTTCTGCCGTCACGTCGCAGATTTGTTACTTGCGTGATGCACGGGTAACAAGTATGCGGTGGTGATCACGGTAATGTACTGATATAACGATACGAAGCGCGCACATGTTCGATCGTCGTTCGACGACCTCACGTGTGTAAAGAGCAGCAAAGTGGGGGATTATAGCCGACTTCCGCTTCAGCACATCGTCTTTCAGTGATTGAAAGCATCGACACGAGTTCAAATGAGCCTAAAGGAGCGGTAGCATTGGCGCAAGTGGTCGAAGGTATTTTCATGCAGTGACCTCGTGTGAACGTTAGAGGTGTCATCCCATCTCGCTGGTGTACGACTCTGGAGGTGCCGAAAGCAGCTGGGATTGGGGCGAGTGCCATGCGTTCGTCAAAAGTACTTACATAAGTGCGAAATCCAGCTCTGTGTAATCTGTGACAGCTAGCAGCTGGTAGGCTAATGGGTACCATCGATTTGAACTTGAAGGGGTCGGGAGGCCTTGAGACTGAATATTTACCAGTTTCTCGGATGCGTGCTGTGAGAGTCACCCATGTTTGGGATAAAGTCTTACGATCAGCAACAAATATCACCCACTAGCAGCCGATCAATAGGGTGGTGTGTGTGTTTCTGGACTGAGCGATACAGTACTCTAACAGTCCACGTTTGCAGACAAGTCATATCTTTTGTTCCGTCGCAACGAAACATCAACGGAGAGACAAGCTGATATGACAGCATCGAAGTACCAAGTGCTCGCGCATTCGTGTTCACTTCTGCCTTAATCATAACGAAGTCGAGGCGACTGTGTGGAGCTGTATAAAAGTCGATGCTGATGCGTAGACGAGTCTGCCTGCCTGGCTTCGCAGACTCTGTAAATTTCGGTGGAAGGATCAATGTAGAGACAGACTCGATTAGATGAGACGTGCGGCAGTTTAGTGCAAGCAGATCAAACGAACACATCATCAATGTTCTGGCTATCCAGGCACCTTGCTTTGCAACACAGCACGTTTTTTGTGTGTATGTGAGCATCGTCCGCATGAGATGCGGAGTGAGACGGCTGCCTGAATATGCTCCGGAGGCGGAAGCAGAGCGCAAGCGACACGAGTGGCCCGCTTATGAATTGAATGACATTAGCGTACTACGTCTGAGCGAAAACAAGAGATAAACCCTCGCACGAGGCAAATGCGGTCCGAAGATATGTCCCTTTTGTAAGCTCACGCGATCCGTATTGGACATGTCCAGCCGTTAGGGCATCATTTCGTTGCTATAACAAAGTCTGATGAGACTCTGGTTCATCGAAGTCAGTCACTTGTTGTGGGAGTAACGTGTGTCGGGGGCTTTTGCGTCATGTTTATTCTGCAAACCGCTCGCTAACCGTGAAAAGAGTACGGCCGATGAGCTTTTGCGACTGTTGACGTGCGAATAGTGATGTAGCGCAACCGTAAGTGCTGTACGTGGCATATCATGTGCGACTGCGGGGGCAATGTCGAGGACACAGTGACTGCGTTTTTATAAGTCGTGATCATTGAGTGACAGCGATGCAGACGTGTCTGGATGCAGGCTGTCCTGAAGACACTTGTGCCAGTGTAAGTGCGATACGATGCATGTACCGGAAGCCGGGCTTGCTGCAAACCCAGAAATTGGCACATCAAAATGTAGCAACCATTTGTTTGCTCTCCTTCTCCGCAAAGCTCTTCAATTGGCAGATCAGCACGTCAATAGCGGAAGGCTGCTCGCTCTCTTGCTCGAACGTCACTTCGTACGCAAGATTTCGTATTGAATGCTCAATGATCGACCGTCATTTCTTGCACCTAAGACAACACCTATCATCTCGCATGGTAAACCATCTGTCGTCCAGATCGACGTCACTCCTTCATCTGGTCGAGAGATACATGGTGCAGGAGAAAGGGATTTAGTATGGAGAAAAAGCCGTTCGACGCTTCAATGCAATAAATTTGGATGCGACTGGCATCAAGAAAGAGATCAGAAGCATTAGTATGAGTTGCGGGATGCTTATATCATTATCTTGACTGGTACAGCCAGCTTGTTTCATACGACGCTGCGTATGCAGTCCTTATAGTACGACACGGACATTGACGGCCACTTCGAATGTACCTTGAATCTTGAATTCACGACGAAACGATTCATGCATCGTTTGTTGAGAAAATTCATGCTCAAACACAAGTCACGCGATATCACTCTCATCCGAAACGTATCGGCGATACATTCGCTTTCATCGCATACTGACCGCGTTGCTCCCAACATTTTCTCGTAGCACATTGTAGTTCAGCACAGTCGGTATGGCATTGATCTTGTGCTGGAGATACGGCGTACTGCCATCCGGTGGAAGAAAATCCGATCCACCCTTCAATTGATTGCCGCCAACTATTTGGTAAGTCAAAAGCAAAGAGGAATTCTTCAGGTAGGCATTTCACCCGCAAACGCGCTTGTGTGCCATCTTCCGTGTCGATTCTTTGTCAACCATCGTGCATTGTTGAATATTCAGATCAGCACACCAGCTCTCGTACTCTTATAGAGAGAAGCTTCTATTCATGTGCGCAGGAGAGTAACAAAGTAGTGACAGTGGCATGTTGATCCCACCGAGAGCTGCTGAAATGCTACCCGTATTTCTCTTCATTCAAGTTCGGATTGAAAGCGATCGTTCGCTGCCTCACGTAACCATCCGTCTACACCAGAGTGATCTCGTAGAACTTCCGTGTAGTGTCGCCTTGTAGCTGCTATAAGCTTCCTCCGTTAGCTGTAGCAGCTTTCAATCTTTGCTATTCAATCTTAGCTACCAATGCTTCATGTTGCCATTAGCAGGAATGGGCTGGAGCTGGACAATCTGATCAAGCTCGTTAGCAAATGCGGCTCAATGCTGCAATCAAAGAGTAATTGTAATTTGAAACCACAGTTGATGTTGGACAAAATCACCTCGCGACATGACTGGTTCGCGCGTCGGAACGGTGAATCCATCACGGATCTAAAACCCATCACGTCAAGTATTTCACTCAACTTTGTCCGTTCCATCAGCACCTTTCTTCCATGACATCAACTGTGGTTGATCCTGCAATCTCTAGATAAAACTCATCGGACTCGATCCAGCACTTGTCTCCAGTATGACCTGTCTATCTATCAGTTATCGAAGGATCTGTCGATAATGTCCAAAAGGTCTTCGTGTCAGTTGAGCCCGTTTTCCAAGCGATCACAAGACATCTCCTTTCTATTTCATCACCTTTCGCAGCTCACCCTAAACGATACCTCACCCCTTTTATTGCGAGCCCGGAGGGTCCCTATTGTGATGCACGCACATGATTGGCTTAAAATCAATTAAAGGGTGAATATGATCACATGAGCAAATGCTGGACAATCGGAACCAAAGGCCGATCGCGTGGCCCCCGCCAACTGTACCAGGTTGATACAGACATTTACAGCATCATAATCCTCATTCAGTGACTGCTGCTATTGTATATGGCTTTCGTATAGTGTGTCGCAACTTGATTCAATTCTCCAAACTAAATTACTTACATCAAAGGGCGAACTCTAGAGCTTGCTCCCCTATCTTACGCGTCACTTGGAAAGTGTACTGCTGCCGCTTTCCGGTGCAGCAATGTCGTTAGCTAAATCACGAGAGTCTCTGTCGAATATACAACAGCATATCGAGTTGATCAGTCGTTGAACTTGCGATCGAGAATTGGCATTCGTATCCGGGTTAATGCCTGACTCCAAGCAGGCTTTTCGCAAAGAAAACCCCATCTCTCGTGTCTTCATCTCGTAGCTCCGTCAAGACTAATGCTATCGACAGCTTCGTATTCTAGCCTATCTCAGTGACAAACGGAACTAACAATACGAATCGTTACGTCTGACATTCCTCAGCCTCTTTTTTCATCCACAGACAAGGCGGCGAATGAAACGGATTCATCAATGTCGTAGTACGTTCTACAGCTTCAAGTCAGCTGCCCGTGCGTTCGCCCGCAGGTTCTATTTCTTGCTGTGGACAGCGAGGCGCCTTTGCAAGAGTAGGAATACAAGTAGATCTGGATTTTTCACGGCCAAAGCGTCGTGTCGACATTTCCACGAGGGGGAACAGACGTTTCCTCCCTCAATCGATTGCAGAGCATTGGAAGCACGCCGCTTTTTCTTTCTCCTATCCACTTTGACCTCTAATACCGAATGAACAAGCCTACACAAATCCAGCAGCCTGTCACACCTCGCGCCTTTTGAACCACACTAACACACAACTCAATCACGGGCCGCAGGAGTGCATCATTCGGGTTCAGAACATCTGCGCTCACTCTCTCTCCTTTCTCCACGACGCTCCGACCCCTCATTTGAGAACTTTCAGCGCGTCGAAATTGCGAAGAACTAGCGCTACCGTCTGTTCAGATACATCCACTGCGTTCGAAGCAAAAAATCAACCGATTCGAAAAAAATCATGACGTCAAAGAAGCACGAGCAACATCGCGTGTTGGCTGACGGCTGGGGCCAGCAGACCACAGGCAGCGTCTTCTGCGCCGACTCGAGTCTGCGATACATTTACGAGAGCGCCAGTTTTTCGTCGTCGTCTCGGTCGCTACCGCAACCGACTCGCGCTTTCTTGGCTTCGAAAGACTTTGACGTGTCACACGTAACTGTTCCACCGAACCATCTGTTCCGTGGGAACATTCGTTGCGCGCTTTTTGGTGGCATAGACGCTGCGTCCGGAGAGAGCCAGTGCGTTGATGACCATCAAGTCGCGATTGCACGAGCATGTCACGCTATTGTTCAGGAGACGCGGGCGAAACCGCCGTCGTTCCACGAATGTTCCGTGTGTTTCAGTGCTAATGCTGCGGCCCAGCTGTCGCTTTGTGGCCACACGTTCCATCCGCAGTGTTTCTTGCGATGGTTCCGATCGAATCCAACGTGTCCACTCTGTCGGGCACCTGTGGACAAGATCTACGAAGTGGCTTCACCGGCATTTGACCAGCAGCAAAATGAGCTCGACGCGCTAATGGCTGAAATGGATCAGGACGACGATCCGTTGCGAGTGGGCACTGCCGACCAGTTGATGTCGTTATTTGAGACCGAGTTGGACACGGACATGGAACTTGTTGCACTTGAAGCGTTGGGCTCTGCTCCTACTGACTCGATCGAGTTGACGTTTGAGCCGGGGGAGATGGCAGATGAGACGATGGACATGGACTTGAAGCAACATGTAACAATCGGCGATCGGTACGAGGAGACAATGACAACAACGGACCCACTAGCGATCCAACAGCAGTTCCCACCGGCGTCAACGATCCCGAATTACTGGAATGTTTTGAATCAAGGCACGACTGGGTCTGCTATGCCACTGGAAGTAGCTCCTCAGCGGATGGTGCATATTGTACCCAAGGTGGAGGACAGGACAATGCCGGCCTCAATGGCTGTAAGTTCTGGCGAAATTGAGCTGACGGGTAATAGGCAGACGGGCTCGGTGTACAACGACCATTTGTGTCATGAGGCTGTTGCTGATCGTGCTATTTCGTGTCGATGTACTGGAGGGTGCAAGAATGGACGCTGTGCCTGTGTCAAAGAAGGAGGTATGTGTGGCGTCTCGTGTCGATGCACGTCTTGCAAGAACCCGTACTTGATGGTTCAAGCTGCAGGTGCTGACATCAATGCCCTGTTGAAAGACAACTGCTTTATGCACAACGTGTCCAAGACTCGAGAAATGGTGCAACGGCTTCAAGAGCCAGTTACAGTGCCGTGTTGTGACAGCACGATCAAGGTCGTCGAGTGTGTGCAGGGCTACACATGTGAGCTCTGCAATCGACGATACGATTTCTCGTGGTGCACGAGCAAGCTACTAGCAAGCGAACGCACTCCACGCAATCATTGTGCCATTTGTAGACGATGTTGTGACCATCGTGATGTGCACTGCCACGACTGCGGTCGCTGCTATTTTGCTGGTGTGGTGGCAAGTTTACCGTGTCCTTGTAAAGAAGCGTTGAGTCATAGGAAGCACCGCGAGGCTATGGCAAAAGACAAGACGGAGGAAGCTGAGGAAGAAGCAGAAGGCGAGTGTTGCATCATGTAGGCTTCATTGCATCCTGTTATCTGCTACTAAAGAATATGGACGTCGGAAGAGAAAGCCGTCACATGCAACAGAACTGGTTTCGTTGCGACGTTTTGTTTCGAGCACGAATTGGAAGTTGCTGTTCAATCAGGTGACAAGTTGCCACCATTGATCTCGTAGTTAGTATACTGCAACCAATTGAAGCAAAAGTAGACCACTAGGTCTCAACGTTTGCTATACGGCGTCATGATCAATCGCGTTGCACGATGAAACTAGAAGTGGTTGAAGCACCTTTGATCTCATCTTTTGTCCTCCCTCCGTTTCAACATGTTTGCCCCTTTTCAAGAAAACCCGAAACATAAGCTGATGTTTTAGAGCCTGATCGGGTAATGCACCTTAAAATGAAGCTCATTCTGCGCTCTTTCAGCTAGTATTGGTCACGTACCTTTCCAGTAGCTACAAGCCGAGAAATTTACACTTGAAAACTCATCACTTATTCTAAACAAAGACAATGAAACGGAGGGAGTTGATGTTTGGTTATGGATAATGTCAAGAACGATGGTGTCTCGTAACGCGAACAACTGAGCCTGCAATCTGCACAACAATCTCGATAGGAAAAGTGGTACCAAGTGTCCACGAAAGTAGATGTTACGCAATATCGGAGACTGCCATCTCTAATCTCGTGAAAAGCGGCCTTCACTTGGTGCCGGGTACTGAGTTATACGCCTTCCGATAAGCTCACGTATGAGCGTCGCCGTGTCTCCAGGCACATCGTTCGAATTCTATTCGTTAAAGAACCCGATGCTCACCACAGCTTAGTTCTGTGCCTTGATCACCTTCAGATCATTCAGAAATGCCACCACCTCTTGCGAAAACGTGGGAAGGTCAACTTGACCGCTCCACTGCAAACACTCACCTTCCATCTTGGACGCTGCCTCGAGCTGCGATGGCGTGAGAATGTCCTTGATGTAGCGGTGGAGAAACACCTGGTAGAACGACGCAAAGTCCACAGCCGCAACACGATGCAGAAGCTGAATCACTTCGTCCTGAAGAAGATTCATCTCGCCACGCGTTAAAATGTTCATGAGTGTCGAGAGGAACCCCATGCGTAGCTCACTTTGGAAGCCTGTAAAAGCGAATAGCCCTTGAGCTTTGTCCACCCGGTCCAGCAGGCCAAGTACCTGATTACAAATCCGCGGAGCCAAATTGGAGCTTTCACGGCTCAACACGCTAGCGAGACTTTGGAAAATGGACAAGAAGTACGTGCGCGCTTGGTCGGACGCGTACCCCCGTTCACGAGCACCATCTTGAGTAAATTGGCCAGAGAAGACGATGAAAAAGCGAAAGTGCTTTTCCAGCAACTGCTCAACTAGAGCCACGTAGTAGCCCAGGATGACAGAATCACTTTCTGGATGAGAAAAGATCGGCTATGCATAGAACCACCGCATACACACAATCAGCCGGCGAGCAATGGGGAGTGTCAGCGCAAAACATGACTATCGTACCTCTTTCAGCTGCCCGAAACAAAGATCGAGGATGTTTTGCGTGAACGAAGTAAAGACAGAAGTTGGTTCTTCGACGACAATCTTCAACAGCTGCAAAAAGCCGCAGAGAACCATCAATCCGGTATTTCCTTGACTAAAAAGTCTGTTCAAGACATCAACAACCTACACATTAGTTGCAAGGAATGGTAGACGGTATAGGTGCAAGCAATCACGTACACTCCTGACAGTTGCGGGTTATTGAAAATCTCCACAAACGTCCGCATTATCTCCGACACGGTCTCCTTTCGCATCTCCTTCCGGACAGACTTGAGCAGTTGAGCGTACAAACGAACGATTTCGTTCACGACTTTGAGCGCACTCTTGGCCTGATTATTCGACTGAGGCGTCCCTGAAGCCGCCATTTTGCAAATAGTAGTGAAGTAAGTCGTCAGTAGAGTCATCAACGACGGCAGTGACGGCTGGAACACAGAGAAAAACGCGTCTTTTGCAATTTTCGGCTTTGTTTCAACGGAGCGAGCGAGACAGCGCACTACGTAGCAGTCACGCCTCAGCTGTGCGACCATAACTTGCTCGAGTACGCGGTGCTCATTCTGGCGCAGAGTCAAGGCGGATTGATCGATCGATTCGCGAAGCGGAATCAACAACGATCCATACCCGCTTTCCCACTTTTGCAATCCATTTGAGGCTTCGCCGTTTCCTCGTAGAGATATCGCCGAGTTCAGAATGGAATTTGACATCGAAGTGTAGAGATCGCCCTGAATCGCCAGTGGCAAGTGCAAGCTGAACTGGTGAATGTGCGTCTCGAGTTGGGTCATGGCCGAAATCTCGAGCATGTCGTCATAGGATAACACGAAACCGAGATTTGCTAGAAGCTGCGTTGAGTTCTGCATTACAGCCAGTGGAGATGGTACAATGCTCGTATCAAACGTCTGGAGAAGTACCTGGAGAATGCTCTCCGAGGCATTTAGCACGTCCTGTCTAGCACCGCTCTTGATCACGAACGGGACGCAGCTCAAGCAGCATCGGATGCTCGTGAGCGCTTCACACTGTAATTCAACAAAAGCATCGCCGCGAGTATGCAGTCGGTGCTGCACCATGTATTCAGACATTCTGACAAACATGTGCAAGATCTGCCAGCCAGTCATTTGCTGATTCATGTCATCGCTACTACTGCAGTAGATGGCGCAGACACTGGAAAGAATCGCGCAGTTGACTGTTAAGTCGCGAATGGCACATCGCTGCTGTTCCCACTGTTCAGAATCCTGCGTGATCACAGGCATATCATGAAGGCAAAACAATACTTTCTGAGCAATGCCTTGAACACGAGGCAGCATGAGATCCAGTAGTGGAGGCGCACACGACGGAAGTGCCGCGATTCGTCGAACAAGTGCAATGCAGTCCACGACAAACTGCTTTCGTTCAGAAAGCTCCACCATGGTAGTAGACCCACCCGAAGTGTTTCCACTTGCAACATTCGCTTTAATTTGGGCCAGATCCTGCAACGAACCTGCACCATAAGTTCCGTCAGAGCTTTCCAAGTCAAAAGCTGTACTATTATCTGCGCCCTCATGGTCACCACGTGTCCCGGCATCGTCTCCATCATCTAGTTCGTCCAACTGGTTTCGGTTCGACTCGTAAGCTACGCGCTCGACCAGATGAAGCATCACAGCAACAAGACCCTTCTCGTAAGCGGCCAGTACGACTCGCATTCGCTCGTTGGCAGCGCCCACATTCTGTTCCACTTCCTCGATGTACGACACCACCACATCCCACACACCCAGACAATTCAGAAACCCTTCGGCATGTGGCTGTTTTGTCGTGAAGGCATACATACACTGCAAAAACGTCTGCAACGTAGCCTCATACTTCGGGTGCTCCAGTCTCTTTAGATGGTGCGACACAAACACTTCGACGAACTCACTCAGTTTGTCCAGAAAGTGTTCTTTCGCTCTGACTAGAACCTCGTCCTTCACGATCTTCTGCAACAACGGACACAACATCAGCATCACCTGTGCGACAATGGCATCCACTCTCGACGGCTCAAATCTCTTGCTCATGAGTTCTGCTAGACACTGCAGAGCCGTAGCACTGGACACAAAATCATGCGACCCCAAGCCTCGGCCTTGCACCATCTCCCAGTTCCCCACAAGTTCAAACAAGAGTGCGATCCACGCTTCTGTCACGAGTTCTGCGACTGGAGCCCACGCACTAAGAGCAGTAAAAGTAAGTAATGCCACATTCGCCACACGGTCCTGCTTTTTCATCAGGTACAGGTCCCCGATTTGCACGTCATGGCTACACTTTCTCAATACTGTAGCCAACACGTTCGTAATAGCTGGCAAGTGACTTATCAACTTGGTCTTGGCTTCTTGCTTGATTGTAGCGAGTACAACCGCGTCTTCTCGTCTGAATTCATCCACAATCACCCGCAGGAGCTCGAGTCCAGTTTCCTGAGACGGGTCCGTTACAATGAGACTTTCAACTTGGCTCCAAAACTCGGGCCATAAATTTTGAGAGTCGCGCCATTGGATTTTTGCAATATCCGCTATGACTTTGCGTAGTTTGCGGTGCACAAATGCCACTTGATGGGGTGCAGCCCCGATGGACGACGTTGATTGGATGAAATACCACACGAATTGACGAATCTCTGTTTGCTCCGAAATGGGGAAATGGACCCATTTTTTAGCAACATACTCTTCCAAGGTCGTGGCCGCAAACCAGAGCGAGTATTCATTCTGAGAGGTACGCAGCAGTGTAAAAAGCACGGGCAAGCACGCCGCTGGCGTGTCCTTGAACGCCGTGAGCTCTTGTTCAATCTGCAGTTTGTCTGAAGCAGGAGTTGATGGGTTCAAGAGACGGTGCAGCGCAGCCTCGACGTCAGCAATTACAGCGTCGGAGCTCATTAGATTTGATAGGATCGTTCGGTTATCCGTAGCGGTCAATTTGGGCAATTTTGAGAGTGATCGGACAGTGGGTAACGCCACGACATGACGCTCAAAAATAAAACCTCATTTTTAGGTGGCTTGCTGATATTAAATCGTGGTGGATTTTAACATGGCTACACGCTCGTACGCTGGAGTCAACTGGCTGTTATTCGTAAGGACGGACAAAGATACCGACGACGTTATCTTTACAGCACTTGTCTCACGAGGAAAGAATGTCGTGGCGGAGCGGACGGTGGATGCGACAGCGTTGATGGAACACGTACTGCTACTTCGATTGCTGTTACTATTTGTTTAAACGTTTTTATGGTCGACTGTTGTAATTATGTCCTGTGGGTTTGGGCGCTATAATCTGTCAGGATAGTTTGGTTCACGAGGCTAAAAATTGTACCGTCCTCGTTTTGTAGGGCGAAGAGATTGGCCTCGAGATGGATACAGTTGAAGTCAAGGCTTTGCTGCTCGTACGTCGTGCTGTTCTGAGTATTTCTCTCAAAAAAGTGTAAATCGCTATCGGAGACCTAACTTTTAGATGTTATTTTATTATAAATTTATTATCGGTGCTGTGTTGACGATGGTTGTTGCTGCTTCATTTATTCGATACCACGTGACAATGTGAGTGTAGAAAACGCTGGAAAAGCGTTATAATGTCGACTTGAGAGTAGAGATTGCAACTGAAAGTGAGACCGTAAAAGACGTTCGTTTGGTCTTGACGTACAAGTTCAGCCCCACAATCAGTCGAAAAGGAGTTTTTCGGCTACCAGTCGTTGCAGCGGATGCCCCAGTGAGCCTCGTGGCATTGTTGACTAGCATTCATGCTAAGCCGCCATATCCGAAGCACTTTGAAGACGAGGAAAGTGAGAATGTGGAAAAGGAGTGCTTGTTGTCTGCTTCAAAACACAGTGGTTTGTCAGCTGGAAATAATGCAGCGCACAATCGTGAAAGCGATGGGACAACAACGGCATTGCAAAATACCTCGAGCTCTGATGCTGAACCGGCACCAATGAAACCAGGGCTGCTGAAAAAGAGACTTGTCCCTGCAGGAACCACGTACGTCACGAGCACACTTAACACGTGGGCACATTTTGCAGTTCGTCTGGTTGTTCTGATTGATGTTTCGTGTACGGACGTGATGTAGGCGACGGAAAGGTCCTCGAGGTGCCAAGTTGGCGAAGAAGTAGCAGTTTGCTTTGCTAATATTAGGTCTCGTTTGTATTGTCGTAATGCCTGGTATTGATGACATGGCTGTTGTTGTTATCTTGAATCGCTCGTTTTCTCCTGATAATAGTGCGTTGGACGTGATGCGCGTGTTATCGCTGTCGTTTGACGGAATTTGGCATACCCGGCGGCTCTAAGAACTGCACCAGTTGCTATGAATAGCCCTTATCAAAGCCATGAGCATGTCTGTCTTGCCACGATAAGGCGCAAAATGCTTCCGTATGTGTGCTGTTTTGGCAGTTCAAACATTGGCAGCATGCTGCCTGGTAATGCTGTATGTCGACTGTGATGCCGGATGATCTCCGTCTCATGCCTTCACTCGCTAGTGCAGAACTCACGACTGTGTTATTTTTACATAGTAATTGTGTTCTCCGCGTTATCTCACAAACAACTACTGCAACCACCACCTGCCATTCTACAGTAATAATACGCATCTACTCTGAGGAACTTGTAAAATAACGGTAACGCATTGAAGACTGGTATTGCAGAAAAATATAATGAACGGAAACAACGGATGTCAGAAATCGAGCTAGCACTACTTGACGTGCAGCATTATCCCATTACTGCATGTAAACATTCGCGCATGTGTTGTACTGCAAAGTCCGCTGCATAAAATTGTTGCCTTTTAATGCAGCGACTCCTTGAAGCCGTGCTTTCGTCGTTATCAACAGCGTAACAACGAATCGTATCCAAAGTCCGACCTGTTAAAGTGAAATCAAAATGCAGTACGCCTAACGATCAGTGGACGTGCGAAGTATACGGATGCTGACCGTGCATTTGCTGGTACGCACGTAAAGTGAAATTCGGTAGAGGAGCCTCATGCAGTCTTCACGGAGATCATGCGAGTGATCGACTTGCTGATCGTGGGTGTACGCTCGAGCGGCTATGCCATGTGACAACCAAGCAACATTTTAAGCTAAAGGCACTCTTTCATCACAAAATTTGTCAGAATCTCCATGGCTAATAGTCCAGAATCGATTACAAACTGGTCGTTGTAACAAGTATTGTTACGTGTCCTTAATGCGTGGCTAGTGTCACGAATATGTTATGTATCCACTTGAGTCCAGGTACGTGATCGAATAAACGCTTCCTGCGAGTGAGTTCGCAGCTGATCCCAATGTTGAAACCAAAAATTGGTATTCCTCGGATGGCCATTACCATTCGACGACTGCCAATAGTCGGTTTAAATAACGAGTCAACGTCGAGTGGGAAATGCGTCTGTGACCAATGTCGGTAGTTTATTTTGTTTTCTGCGAGGCAAATTACGCAGTGGCACTCCTCTATCTGCTTGAAGTTTAAGTGAATAATCGCTTTTGTTCCGTGAACTTGATTTTTGAGTGAGTTTTGTACGCACAACATGTGTTTGCATCGCAGTCACCGTGTTCCAAGGTTGCAGTACTTTGTAGGTCAGAAAACCTAGAGAGAACGCTATTGTAGAGACCGTCAGTGTTATCTTTTTGCAGAGCAACGCGATTGGTTTTAGGTACAGGCTGAAAGAAACGTTTGCGATGAGTTCTGGGTTAGGCATCGAAGGCAGTCGAGTCATCGCGTGGTACGACCGTTTGGTGATTGGGATCACTTTAACATCAAAAAGAACATTCGAACCGGTGAGTTACTTCGGCTTCTGACAGTGCATTGCATGTGCAAATAAATTATAGCCGCGACACTTACAGCCGCGAGGACCAGCACCTTGCACACTGAAGCGCGAATGCAGTTTTCGATGTCCGTGCTGATGAACAAAACAAACGAGAGCTACAGAGAGGCAAGAGAAGCACGGTACACATCGCTGGGCCATTTGAAAGTGACAATCGATTCACTGAACACCCGTGTCCAGTGGTCCATTTCAGCAGACCCCTACGGTATCATCCAAAAGGACTTCTTCCAGCGTTTTCAGACAGGTTTGGCATATCTCTTCTTCCACCTTGATGATGGCGTCAGCAAACAGCTTCTCTTTCGCACCTGAGACCACAAAGCTGAAATTCATGGGGACAAACCGAGTGACCGACTCCAATAGAGTGCCAGCACACCCCTCCACACTGCTGAAGGACGGCTGAAGGACGCACCAGCCAGTTTCATCAGCGTGCATACCAGCACAATCGCCTTCCCCTTCTGTAAACTTCTTCCAGACAATCACAATTCGGCGACCCTCGAAATACTTGCGCGCAACGTGGAGCTGCACGATCTTACCGCGACATCCAGGAACTGATCCCTGATATTTCAAGATCGTCGTGTTATTCGGGATCCAATCCCCCACGACTTCTGTGGACCCCGTGAGCTTGTCCAGCCTGCAGGCACTATCGATGTGAGCCTGCACCCGATCAAACGAGAACGGCGTTGTCGATTTCCCCACAAACTCATGATACGTCGCATCCTTCACCGCCCGTTTCGAAGGCAAGTAGAAAACCTTCAACTCATCGTTCTCATCTGACGTACTCAACGACGTATTCACTGCCGAAGCTTCCAGAATCGTGTCGGTCTGAGCATGGACTTCGTCCAGTTTCTTAATGTACGTCTCATAGAGCGCCCGATCCGGCGACTCGCACCGCGCTTTCTTGACCAAACAGCTCTTCCTTCCTTCCTGCCGTTCATCTCGCAGTCTCTTTCGCACCAGAGCACCCAACTCCCGTATCAGCATCGACTGGTGCTCCACTGCCTCCAAGTATCTCCCATGCTGTTCTTCAGCCAGCAGCTTGGCCTGCAACTGTCGATCCGCCAGAGCTTTCCACATCAGCAGATGATCCTGCTGCGGCCCTCCTTGCACTACTGTCCCACCATTGACCCGTTTCTGCAAAATTGCCAATTGACTCGACAGCGTCTTCACTTGATCGTGAAGAGCCGTCCGTTGAGCTTTCTGCTTTTTCCGGTACGTACTGCGGCGAATGGCGTCTCGAGTTCGGATACTCTCGATCGCGTCGGGATGGGAAGGAGACGGCGCTGGGGACCGGACGCTTTCGGTATCCGTAGAAGTGTAGTCACTGCAACTGTTCCGCATGCCATTGAGACTCTCGTGGAGATTTCCGAGCTCTTGGACAACATCGGAGGCTGGACACTCATCCAGGAAGTCTTTCGCCACGGCTGGTGATGCGGTGGTGGACCCTGCAGACAGCCCCAACGGATCTTTGTCCAGTGCCTGGACGAGCACGTTCCCAGGATCTACCGCCCAGTCGAAGCTGTGGAGGAAGTGCGAGACTTCTTCGAGGAAGATCGAGTCCGTCATGAGGATGGCGAGCTGGAATTCCCAAATGTCGAAAAGCTGCCACATGGACAAGACGAGCAGCTGTTGAAGTAGCTGCTCAGGGGAAGCGGATTGCGTCATCGGTTCAGCGATTTTGGGGATCTTGCCATCATCTGGAAAGACGAGGGAAAGGGTTATTGAGGGCTCGTAGCCAATCAGAACGGTTGACGAACGGACGCGTGGGAGGTACCCAGCCAGCTGGTGGCATCATCAATCGATCGACGACGCTGTTCCAGTTTACAATTGAATAGTCCACTTGACAGTGATCGAGGCGATTATTGCTTGGGGTTTAGTCGGCGCGGTGCTGATTTTCTGGCACCCGTTGCAAAGAGTGTTGATCCGCACCATGTCGGCTGGCAAGATCAAGGATTATGGCACTATTATAGGGTTACACTTGAACCCCTATCTTCGGCTCAGATAGATAGATGTAGTCGAGGGTCTAGATCTAGCTGAGGATCAACGCATCGATGAAGGCTATGGGCGTTGGCTTTCTGTATACTGCCTTTCGAGATAATTGACGGGAGCATGACCACGCGCTCGTTCTTACATGATCAGGTGCGCAGCTCAAGTCGGAAGGGAGGGGCTTGACGGCAGGCAATGATTGTCTTGGTAGCAGCTTCTGAGTATCAAGTGTAGACATTTAAAAAGAGCTAGAATTAGATTTACTTAAATGAAAAGGAATCGACTTTTAGTTTAAGTCAATCTAATTTTAGAGGCGCTGCTTAACTTCGCAGCGCCTCAACCACAAATGCATCGACCCGACAGTGGCACACCCACGGGCTTTGGGGGAGCGAGAGCAGCGCGTCTCTGCTCTTCAACCACCCTGCCGAATCAAGATAACCACGTATGCACTGAAAATAGCACTAAAGTCGGCATCGGTGGAGCAGCGATTTGAAGAAAATTTGGACGTGTCTAATGGTGCAGACGAAGATTGTGGTGGTGATGACCAGGACAGTTTGTCTATGGCAAATGCAGTGTCGCTTGCTCGATCGACACGGTCACAAGTTGGCAAGGAGCTCGTATGCTGTGATCAACAAGGCACTGTGGCAACGATACGCTTCGGTTTTTGTGGAAGAATGTCTTGAGTTAAGCAACAAGCCCGACGTGGGTCTTAAGAGCGTGAAGACTCGAGTGTGATGAGGCTGAGTAGACGGAGCAGTAGTTGAAAGGGTGCCTGCATGTATACGAAGCTGGCTGCAATGCTAGTTGTAATCTGGATGTATCGTTGCAGCCTCGTGACGACGAGATGGGAGCGGTGATGCAAGGATGGCTAGAAAAGCGCGGTTAGCAGTTCAAGACGTGGAGATAGTGTTCTACATGCAGCAAAAGGACAGCATGCTGTCGTATTGAACGGACAAGATGCTCGACAAATGGAAGAAGCCATTGACGTCAGCTGTGGGTCTGATGCGAACGTATTGGTGAAGTCCAATTCGGTGGACAAAGTCTTGGTGTTCTTCATTGCCACGTCACGGCGGCACCCCATGATCTCAGAACGTCACAGTCGATGATGAAAACGTAAATTACTCGACTAAAAGCAGCAGGAGTACTATCTACCGATCTATTGGATCCGCTTGACAAGACAGCGAAGATTTGCGTGCATGAAACAAGGAATCCACGAATGGGAGCGCTGCGAAGACCCTGTATCGCAGCGAGACGGCAGGCAGGGTCTTTACAGTGCTTCCATTCGGACAGATCAACTGATTTCATGATCTGGTCACGTCTAAACGGACCGTGTTAGGACTCAGAAGGACTGTGTTACGATCCGTGGTCAAGCGGGATTGCTGACTTGAGCTCATACAGTCCGTGCCTGCCTGATCATTGCCTAGCCGCATAACCATTCGATATTATTCCATCAAGCGACTGAAGTCCCACATCATTCAAAACGGGAGGTGCTTCTGAACTTGGCGCGTGTCCTATGTGCGATCAACGATATAGAGAAGGTCGCATGGAAACTTTCCCGTGCACCTAATCCTGGCGAACAGAACTCCTGCGAGCTACGCGCGCGTGATTGCGCCACTTCCCTCCCAGCGACTGCCTGATGTATCCAGAGAGTGGGATGTTTACCCAGCCTTTCTTCGTTGCGCATACCACGATGACGACGACCTCTTGTTAGCTGTCCCGCCATTTCGCAAGCACGTAGACCTTGCCTTCCTCAAATTTTATCTCACGTAAGACAGGGAGTCGAGACGACTTGTGCTTATTTCGCCACAAGAGAAGAGGCAAAGTTTGCTGCTAATCTGTGACGTAGTGACTTGCGCACAAAAATACGCCAGCAGCTGACTCGGTCGTGGATCAGGGTGCTGTCTGACTTTGCAGCTGTAGACAACCAACCCTGACTAGTGATTTGTTTACGGCTGATGCGTAAGCATCGATCTGAGGACCACGCGCGGGGCCTTACGTGTTGTTTAGTCTTTCACTGGTTCACAGTGATAGCATAATGTTGACGTCTTGTCACGGGTGTGTGTTTCTTGTGCCGTCATAAAAGCACTTTGAACTTCCTCCGTCTGAATGGTATGAAATGTCTAAAAGTGAACGCTCCTTCACTCCCGCGAGTGGCAGCGATGACCCTCCATTGTCACTCGGTGTTCTCCGTCGCTTCCCCTGTGGTTCATGTCCTTGTTACAGGGATTCAACGAATTGAAATGACACCACGAAGTGTGCTGGAAAATCTCATGCTAGACTTCGAATTGGTGTGGAGTACGACATGTTAGATGTCGGATGATTCGATCGAAGATTAATTCGTGGCTAGACAAACGGCTGCGTGTATGTTAGAATGGCTGACCAAGATTTCAGTACAAGCTTAAATTATAGATGGTGTAAAGTCGGAGGCGATTGATTAACAGACTCAAGCGCGGATTTAGTTAGCAGTGGCATGAGCAATAAACATAATGACACCAAGCAAAACACATTTAGTAAATGACATCAACGCTTCCGCAGCAAACACGTGACACTTGACAAGGAATCGCTCACCTTGACGATTCGAGCCGCCTTCTACAGCAGTACGCCATTTAAAGAATCTGGTTGACGGCAGAATGACGATTGAGGCTGAGTGTTTCGATGCAAGTCGCTGGGGGCTATACTTTGTAAGACTTTGATGTAGTCAATAAACTTATCGATTGTTTGGCGGCTTCAAGCTTGTAATGACAGTGGCATAGGCTCATACACTCAGGTTCATCGGATTTACAGCTTTGTTGCGTATAATAGACCAGCAAGTGCGATGACCAGTAAGGAAGGAACATACTTTGTTTGCCGCCACGATCCACGAAAGGCGCTATAAACTCACTGAGCACGCGGTACGATACTTCAAGATGCGGATACGGTGGTATCCGTATTGATATGCATCACTATAGGAATGCTGCACTCGCCGCGGTGCTGGTGGCGCAAGAGAGCTTACGAAAACCAAGATGACTGGAATGTTGTTGGTGGAGCCGGTGATGCGCTGCACCATATCATAGCTATCCTAGACGGCAGTAAGGCTATCACTTTCATCAGGCATTCGACTTTCATCATACAATTCCATAAAAAGAAGTGTACGCTTGCCGACGATGGGACTAACGTGCTCGCCAGCTTTGGTCTCGTTTTGCTGTAGCGATTTATAAATCGTTCGCTAGAATGTTGCCAATCGCGATACATGCAGACGATAGTCATAGCCAATACGTTGGAATGAAAAGCCAAGCTTCGCGTGTCTATCGGGCTCGTCGATTCGAGAACTTATTGCAAAGTTGTCCTTTACGAGTAATTGTTGTCCTCACAGTAGAGAACTTACGAAGTTGGCTCTGGTTGATACCGACGGTTTTGTTAAGGAATACGTATATGTTGCAGACTTACCTTTAACACTAAAAAGTGTCAGCAATTTTTGGCCGAGGGTTTCGCATAAAAGTGGTTCTGAATGCAAGAGTTCTTGCTTAAGAAACTGCTTTCATCACGCCTCTTCTCCTTTGATCCTTTCACCGACTCTGACATTCACGCCGCTATTGACAAACCATATATTACACCTTGTAACTCATGTTCACTCTCTGCATAGAATAGTTATGAAAGTAAATAGTTCCATCCCTCCCCTTACTTCCACACCCTTTTCAAGCTAACTTTGCATTTAGCTAACAGGGACCGCACCTGACGGGGCAATGTGAGATTGATCTCGTAATCGGGGATTCAGATTAAAAAGAGACTTATCCTGGAACATGTCTGCGCGTTTGTGTGTGTAATCGTCAGGAATGATCGTGAGGAGGTGAAACAGTGTCATTATCGAGGCCAGCTTCATGCGTTCTACTTAATAGCAACACGGAATATAAACAATACTCCACAATCCAACGCTTCTACAACATGACTATATATGTCATCATCTGTCCACAACTTCTATAGCTAACCTCTCGAACAATTTAGACTTCTCCTCAGTTTCCTTCACAACGTCTGCGAGTTATGACAATGCTTCTGTATTACAGACAGAATCATTTCATCCACGATTAGATATACAACTGGCCGCACAGTGGTCAAATATGCACTCGTTACGCTTCAAATACGTCATTGTCGTCAGCTTGGGAAACTATCCCAGCACGGAGAGCCGAACAAACGCATGACCAACGTCTGTTTTAATCACATATGTAGCAATTTATGACAGGTGCAAGTGTACGAAAAAATAGATGGACGAATTTATTGCGCCTATGTCGATGGAATACGCGTTTAAAAATTGTGGGTAAAGGGTACTATACTGATAATGCAGGCGGGATTGTTACATACGACCGCCGAACAGTTTTCTGCCGCTCTTTCACAATGTTGCATACGTACTTGTAGATCTTGGAACGGCTGGTCGACGAAGTAACAGCATTTATGTTTTGAACCGCAGCCAGATTGAAGTTTATGTGTGTTTAGGAGGCCTCATCCTACAATAATGGGAAGCAAGATCCAGAGTCCGCCCTTTTATGCAAATAAGTCAGTCCTAAAAACCTAATCAAGTTATGTGCATTCAAGTTACCATTTTAAGTACAGTCAGCTCTTATAACACTCCGTGACATAACGTCCTTCGGCTATGGCATCCAGTTTTACCCCGGGACGGATGTTCGTCACAGGTATAACCAGATAATATAGTTATACGCGCTTAACTTCCTTCATCTATAGGATTTAGATTCGAGGTGGACAGACAGGGATATTAGTGAAAAAAACTGACTGTCGTTAGCGGCTAAAAAATGGATCGATTTTTGTGTGCTTATAGATTTTCATGAATTATGTATGTCGTTATTGTTCTGAAGAGACAATGTGGGAAACAAAGAATGATCCTGACCAGTAACGCCTTCAACCATATATTGCGGTCGACGACATATACTGTTAACATTGAAAAAAACTTAATTGAAGAAGTTTCTACTACATTTAGAAAAGCATGACCATAAATTCATCAAGTATGTCGGATCTACTTAAGCTTACTGTATGCGAAACATGCGAGAATTTCTCTTCCCCTGAGTGTAAAGCATTTACTTTAAAGCTCTCTATCCTCCCTTAATCATTTGATATTCCACTTACGTGCAGGAAGTGGTGCGAATGTGAGCATTAAACACTTCGTAGTTGCAATCAGCGAAATAATTAAAGAGTGAAACTTTTTTGCAAAGGGTTTGGCGCACCACCTATGACTGTTGCAGCGTCATGAGGTTCCACAGCACCCCATCCACGAAATCAAGTGCTAAGATCACATGCAAAAGCAAGACATTTAATGCAACAGGAATCTACATCACAGAAGAGGGGTAATGTATCGGGACACCCTTTATTTGGGGTGCCACGAAACTTCACGTACACTAGTACGTGCAGAGGAAGCTAATCTACTCAAACAGCTAGGTTGAGCAAAAGGTACAAAGAGAACTGTACTTAGTATAGCTAAGCTATCAATATAACTTTAATCTTATCTAACAATATTAATCTGCATCTTCGTGTGACGACAACCTGCTCACCACTCATTGCGCGCATATAGCAGCGATTTGGGGCAATCTTTGGTTGTCTTCATCAATTAATCTTTGAGCAGCACATCAATATTATCATACAAAGGGAAATATAATTTTTTCAATATTATCCATCTCTGATATTATTGACAGGGATTTGTCATGCTAGACAATGTCCCTCTTGACACCGTTTGGTGTCAATATGATGTAACGGGCTACCCCTTTACATCAACCTCCCCCCTTAACTATCAATCACCCGTTGATCGCATTAGAATTGATTGGGAAAGGGTGACCACCGTTGGATCACTCTGGGAAAGGGAGCACCGGTTGGTCAAATTCCATTCATTTGCCATTCCAACTCATAGTATCGAAACCCAAGCGAGTTACAGCAGCAAGAAAGGCGGCTGCACGCATGCTTGCAGACGGATAGAGTACTTCTCACGCCGCAGCAGCAGGTGATTCGTCGCCTGTTATTGTGAACATCGTGGTGAGTCACCACGTGCGACGGCACATCCGCTGCGTCTGCAGCGGGAGCTGCGACTAGCAATTTAAACTAGTCTGAAATAGAGCTCATCTATTACGGCAAATCTGATGATGCATCCGACTCGTAGATGACACCTCACGCCTCTATATCATCCGAGGCAGACACTGCAAGAGCATAATTGACTGGCTCTGGGAATCTTGGGACCTTTATGCCAGAGATCTATAGACCGAGCGATTCGTCTGACTAATTCTCGCATCACGCAAGTCTATCTACTGGGCTAGTGGTGGTAGTGGTGACAAACCTTTGCGTCACCGCAAGAGAAGAAACTCGAGGGACCGAGCTGCTCCGGTTTAAGCGTTAATGATGACAGTACTAACGAGTCCAAAGACGGCTATGTCCTGCGCCATGCTCCTCAAGTGAACTCTCCTTGAATGTCGTCATCCAAGGAGTTAGATCGAGTGGTCGGCATCACCACGTAAAGGAATCGATCTCTGCTGTTCGACTGTAGGAATATGTTCTCGCCTAACTCCAGCACGGAAACTGTCCGTGCTGGGGTAAAGTTCTTTGCCGATGTGTTCTTCAAACATCGTTTGTACAATGGCTAACGTGATAGAGACGGTAAGGCCTTGGTGCAAGGATAGAATGCCTTCATCCATATCATCGAGTGTACTGGCCGTGAGGCCTTGCTCGGTTATCTTGGTGCAGCTCACATCAAGTTTGATAAACGCAACCCAGTCGTTGCACGGTAAATGTTGCACCGACTGTCAAGAGAGGCAGTATTATCCTGTTTCTCGTGGGGTGATTCTTGTCCAGGTTGCCTGGCAAACTCGAACCGTGCCCCTAGGGAGGCCTTCCTCCCTAATGGTCCCTACTGGAGGGCGCGCATCTATTCCGAGATGGCCGAAGGGATCGACACTTTACAATCCTGTACTCGCGTTCGGGGAGGTCGTTTCCGACCGCCCTTCTCGAATGCAGTGGGTGGGTCTCGTCATATTGCTCGACGAGACCCGGAATATCAACAATCAGCTAAACACGAGGCTCGTAGCTGTCCCAGGCCGGTGGGATAGCCACGCCAGCGGACGAGGTAATTCGTCCGGACGCCATTAACTTTGCGGTGGTCTAAAATACGCTCCACTAGAAAGCGTTGGCCACCGCCAGAGTCCACCAAACGATGTGATGTTGGCGGGAACACCTGATCCGGATCGAGCGTCGGATCAGCTTAATGTTCAAGAGCTGAACCGTGTAACGGAATAGTTACAATATGACCTGGCTCATGAACGGACTCAGCGTTACGAGCTCCATGACCTTGTATAGGATAATTACATTACCTCAGCGCACGATCATTCGAACGATCGTGCCGCGTTTGCGCTTGCGCAACTTGAGAACAAACGTTCAATTCATTCCATTTGTGAAGAGCTGACTGCAGCTCGTCAGGACATCGCTCAACTGCGTGAGTAGGTCGCTTCGCTTGTCGACCAGACTGGCTCGTTGAAACGGGACCAGTCGAAGGTGGTCTCGGCTCTCGACCGCGGAGGCGTTCTGCGCATCTCGAAACGGGCTCGTACTGATTGTACGGGCGGAGACGACCGATGTAAACCTCAGGATACGTACGCATCTTCGGGGCAGTTCAATCGTGTATGCGTTGCCCATTCGGCGCAACACACGAAATGGACCGATGTACCCGGGCAGTAATTTACTGCTGTCCACATTTGTCACTGCGTGTTTCGGTAGATTTATTGTAGACAGTAAGACTCGGTCTCCTTCATCAAATGAGAGAACATTTGCTCTTCCATGTTTGTCTGCATTTCTTTTCTGTCGGTCAAGTTTATCTGCAATTGAGTCCTAAATGAAGCGGACAACCGCTTCGCGAGTAAGCATAAATTCCTCTGCTGATTAATACTTGTCAACAGCAGTGCGCTTCGTGTGCACTGCTCAAAGAACGTTGTTTTCACCAGCGACGGCGTCATCGTCCTCACTGTGGCAGTCATTGGAGATGATGAATATACCAGCATCGTCTTCATCCTCATCATCGATATCGATCGCATCGACGTCGGCATCCATCACGTCGACACCATTGTCGACGGGTGATGAGCAATAACCAGATCGGGTTTCGTTCGAGCGGCCCCCCCCAAAACTAGAGTCACACTCTAAGAAGGCGGGTAAACGTTGATGGCGTAGGCCATTACGAAAAACGGTGTATTCGTGTCGACGCATGCACCGAGTTGTTGATGGCGAATTCTGCCATCGGCAAGAATTTACCCCAAATAGTAAATGAGTGAACTTACCCTTGAAGCATCTCTTCGAGGACGCGGTTGACGCGCTTCGTCTGACCATCTGTTTCTGGATGGTCAGAAGTCGACATTGTCAAGTGAGTTCCAAGTGAACGGAACACAGATTGCCAGAACTCCGCTGTGAAGCGAAGGCCATGTCAGACACGAGTTCACAGGTTCCCCGTAAATTCGGAAGATAGTATCGATGAAGACACGAGCACAGCCCTGGGCTGTGATTGACTCCGGTACAGCAACAAGATGTACCATCTTGCTGAACCGATCAACAAACACAAGAACACCAGTATTCTTGTGAGCATATTTGGGAAACCCGAAGACGAAGTCCATCGATACGGACTGCCAACAATCTGCCGGAATCGGAAGAGGCTGTAAGGGTGCGCGGGGTGAAGGACTAGGCTTCACCCGTTGACAAACGTCGCAAACGCGAATGTATGTGCGCACAAACTCATACTGACAGGGCCAGTAGAAGTCACGACTCACCGTGAGGTAAGTCTTTTCCCTACCGCGATGCCCACTTGTTGGGGCATCGCTACACCCATACATGATGAGCTGTCGCAAATCACTATGAAAGGGAACGACGACACGAGGTGTGTCGTCGTTGAGTGCTGTATAGTACAGCAGTCCATAACGAACAGAACCGTTTGGTTAAAGAGCGGTATTGAGACGACAAGCTTTTCAAAGCTTGACTGCATGGATTGGCTACATAACCCATCAACCGCAGCTGAGACTCATTTCCTGCGTATGCTTTTCGCACGTCGTTGAGCAGATTCGACGACGGAACACTCACTGTTAGTGTTGCTACAGTGTAATCACCCTTACTGTTGGGTTGAGCAGTCGGCTCGAAATCGGGCCGACGCGAAAGAGCATCAACGACATTAAGTCGTCCTGGTTTATACTCGACGGAGAAGTTGTGATCCACGAAGAAGGACAGCCACCTCGTCATTCGTTGCTAGAGGTGTGGCCTGTTTACGGTCGTGCGTACTGACGCATGGTCGTTATAAACGATGAAGGGCCTATCTCCCTAGAGATGTACACGAAACGTAGCCAGTGCATATTTCATGGCAAGGAGTTCCTTGTCATGCACTGGGTAGTTACGCTAATCTGCTTTCAGCTGACGCGATTGATAACAGACGACGCGCTGAACGCCGTCTGAGTCGTACTGCATTAACGCGCAGCCGATTGCAAAATCGATGGCGTCACCGACCACATAAAAATGTCTGTCCTGGTCTGCAATCCAATACAGACGATTGTTTCAAGCTTTTCTTGATACCTTCGAAGGAGTGCTAAGTGTCAGCACTCCATGACTACCTCTCGTTTTTCCTTAGCAGACGAGATAGATGTACGGTCATCTCGGCGTAGTTGCGCGAGTACTGATGCAAGTACGCCGCCAAGCCAAGGATCTTTCGAAGTTCTTTGACGTCGACTGGCACGGGCCAGTCGCTAATCGCCTTGATCTTTTCCGGATCAGGGCGTACACCTTTTTTACCCACGATGCAGCCAAGAAGTGGTATTTCGCTCGATGCGAATTTACCCTTCTTGAGGTTCGCGAACAGCTTATGCTCTCGCATTAGTGTAAGAACCTTCCGGACGTGGATTCTACGAACCTCCACGTCCGTCTTTCCATCCATAGCCCGGCTATGGACGAAGACATCGTTGAAGTAACTCGGTGCAAAATCGCGCACCGATTGCAACAGTTTCGTATCACATCTGTTGAACGTTGCAGGGGCGTTACTTAGCCTCCGCGGCATCACTATCCACTTTCAGAGCATACCACTGGGGGTGCTCACTGCTATGTACGGGATGTCCCGTTCACGCATGATGATCTGATAGAATTCATCCATCAGATCAATGGACGACAAGATGGTACTCTTTGCCATGCCATCTATGATGACGTCCTTCCTCGGTTTCGGCGTTTGAGCCAGTACCGGTACAGCGCTCAATTTGTTAAACGCGTGCACTATCCACCACCCTCCTGTGGCCTTTCGCACACAGAAGGTCGGAGAGCTGTGTGTGGAAGTTGATTGCCTCACATGACCAGCCGCTAAACGATTGGCAAAGAATTTGTCGATCGCTGTGACCTGTTCACGAGGCAGTGGCCACGGCTTCATGACACAGTACTTCGAACCTGGTTTCAGTTCGATCTCATGCCGAGTGCCTTTGTCCTTAGGCAGCTCGCATGGAACGGATTTAGGGAAACATCTCTGAATTTGGTCAAATCCTCATGCAAAGGATTTGTCTTCAAAGACTCCCAATATTGAGACATGTATCGCTCAATCTGGGTCTTCTCAGAGAGGACACTTTCGTCCATCGATGATCTACTGGTAACTTGTGCATTCTCAGAAACACTTGTGCTGACCGAATATCAGCGACGTACTCGTCCTCTGTGACGAGTACGCAGATTTGCTTAGTCTTGTCGCTACGCAAATCTCGCAGGAATCTTTTAGATTTTAGCGTAGGCTACTTGATTACCTCCGAAGCTGACTTCGGAGGTGTAACTAAATCAAATGTATAAGCGCCTACATTTGATCCGCCATTCACCAAGACATTCAGTGTCTCGGTAATTTCCTGAAAAAAACATTCGCAGGTGGTTGGGGTCCACACCCTTAACAAAACTCTATCGGAAGTTATTACTCTCAGGAACGCTGGAACTTTTTTCCAATAGGTGCACTGACTGTAAGTAAAGTACCACAGTCACGTCCTCTTCGATCGACTTTATCTCAGTCGATCGGGCTTGCTCTACGATCGACTCTATAATATTCGATATTGCTTCAACGTGTGGTTCATCCTGAACAACACTAATCTCTCTTCTCGGATGCACCCTTCTTGGTGTGCATCCGTGTTCCAGTCCACTCCATCTCTTCGAGTGGTGAACCTTCGGCGCAGCCTGTGTCTCTACACAGGTGCTGGAAGCTGGTTCCACTGTGTTGTGGCCTTCTACACTGTGAGCTAGTGCAATCGTGCTAACGACCGTATCACAAGTGAGGCCATCGCACTCACTCGTACTGCGTCCACATGCTTGTGGACGCTCCAAGACGTTTATCAAATGGCCATCCGATGAACAAACGGCCTGCGTCTTTACGGATCAATGCTTCCAGCTGATCCATGGCTGGTATTTTCTAAGCCATGGAAGACCGAGGATGATATCAAATTTGTCATCCAAATCTAGTACGATGAAGTCATCATCGCACTGTTTTCCTTCTAGCGTGTAGTGGATTTTCACTACACCTTTGTTCACTTTTACAGATGCGCCTGTAGCAGACACAACGTCATCCTCGTTGGAGGGAACTCTTGATGTAACAGAGTTCTGTCAGTTCGGGACCTCCTGTTTCCTGTCGTCTCGTCGGACGATATTTTGACGAGTTAGCCTGAGACTGTCTCAGGCTAAATATTTATTGTTCCGCATACGCTATAGCCTTTTCCAGCGTATGGAAGTCCGCTCGAAACATGTAGGTCTTCACCGGTCCATCCACAAGGTCGTGTATGAACACGTTGATAAACGTATGCTCATCAACAGGGCTTTCTGTAACGCTACATGCAAGGTAGCGTAGGTGTTGTGCGTAAGCGTGCACGTCACGCTTACCTTTCTTGAGCCTCAGGAGCGCAGAGCGTGCTCTGAACTTGGGTTTTTTGGCGGCTCAAACGTCTCTTGAGCCGAGACATTAAGGTCTCTAACGACTCAAACACGTTTGGTCGTGAAGCTTGAGTCCTAAAGCTTAGGTCTTTGCTCGTCCCGTCAAATTTGACAGGGCGAAGGTGACTTGCATCTCGTCACCCTCGATGTGACGGGTCCTCATGGCGTCATCTAATTCGACGAAGCATCTCAAAAGAGAAAATTATCGGTTTTCTCGTACCTTGAGTAACCATCATCAAGGTTTCGGGTCGACGCGTGTGCGTCAGCCCGCCCATCGACTGATGAGAGTCTAGCTGCTGTATCGAGGCTATTTTCTGTCTTTCGACGGCAAGTTCCCTTCGTAAGTACTTTGTTGATAGCAGAATGTTGCTGGTATCTGCTTCGAGACTCCAACTTGCCCCTGATGGCGGGTTCGCCCATGAGCACACTCATGCGGCCGACTATCTCCATTCCTAGTCACTCAGATGGGAGTAGCCTTAACGTGTGACGTGAAAGCTATTGTCTTCTTCTTCCAACATGTTCATGTTAGACGGACACTAAGCATTCGTTAAACGGACTACGAAGTGCTACCAGAGGTGTAACGAAGCACCCTCTGTCTGGGTGTCACGAAACTTCACGTACACTAGTACGTGCAGAGGAAGCTAATCTACTCAAACAGCTAGTTTTGTTAAAAGGTAAAAACAGAACTGCATTTAATATAGCTAAGCTATCAATGTAACTTTAATCTTATCTAATAATATTAATCTACATTGCCGTATGACGACAACCTGCTCACCACTCATTGCGCGCGTCTGGCAGCGATTGGTTGCAATCTATGGTTGTTATGTATTTATCAACCGATCTTTGAGCAGCGTATGAACATTATCCAAAAGGGGAAAGAATTCCTTATATATTAACCATCTAGGGTAATGACGGTAGGATATTGTCATACTAGACAATCTCCCTATTGGCACCGTTTAGTGTCAGTATGATGTAACGGGCTACCTTGTTAGATAAACGCACTGTGGAATTACGCTTGGCGGAGGCGGAGTACTTGGCTTCAAGCTTGTGTACGCAAGAAGTACTGTGGGTCCGCGCGATGCGCAAGCACCTCGGTCATGAGCAGTAGGGGCGATGTGGAGCTGAAAGGATAAATAAGGTGC